CCAATCATTGATACATGATAGGATATGGACATTTTATCATGTACATGTACTACAATAAACAATGCCTCTTTGTGATGTCAGAATTATTGACCATAACACATAAAAAAATGAATTATAGAATCAGTTGTTTCAGAAGTAGAAAAAAGATATAGTGGATGATACTGTGCATACTCATGTAGATATGGATCAGGCTAAGATATGGCCCACGGTCAGCCAGTTGTTTGACATAATCTCAAAATAACCCGTGTCGCAGATATATGTAGGCAATATTTTTTACTGTCTTTAATGTTACCATAAATCAAAGCAAACCTAACATTCGTTATTTCTAAAGAAAAATATCTGCAGGAATAGTGTATTTGTTTTGCTTATCAGAGCATAATGTTTTAAATCCTGGTTTCTAGTATTTTTAGAGAAATATAAACGTTTACCTTTGTGTAATTTAGATTATGAGGCCAGATATTATGACATGCCTGATGCAAGTACATTTGTCGACAGATAACAAACAATTTTCACACCAAACAAATATTTGTACAAGTAGGATAGACTGGCATACATATGTCTTCAAAGAACTCAAGTAGAACATCTTTAACTTTGTCATGAATAAAGCTTCCTAACCTGGTAAGTTTTCAAATTTTAACGATATCACTTATCAGAAATTTGTTAAATTACAGTTCATAGATTTCTTACTTCATATGGTTTTTCATGGCTTTTAAAAAATTAGAAAATTTGATAAAGCATATGGTTTGTCAAGAATATGGTTTAGTTATTACAATAATGCAACATTTATATAGCGCCCTGTATAGTTTGTAGAATTACTTTAAATCGCTTCAAAGTTAATGTGCTCAAACCAACTTCCTTGTAATTCACTTAAATGATAGACATGTCAAAAAACCGAAAAATCAAATTTAAACGTTGAAAACAGTTTCAGCTTTAAGTCTCCACAAATGTTTTCTGAATCATTGACAAAACAAGATTTTTTATTAAATAAAATTTAATGCTTGCATGAGCATGAGAAAAGCATGAATACAGGCCTAGATGTGTTACCTCAGCAGTTTTGGTTGGAGATTGACTTAAAGTCTATTTGTTCACAGAAGCTCCTATGTTTAGAGGAAGAAGAACATTATACCTGATATTCTTTAGTAGTTAAATTCCACTTGCTGATTGAACACTTTTCACAATTTGCACTGGTTCTATTAAAATATTCACTTTTCGGGAAATAAAACTGTAAACACCAAGAAACGAAGGAGATCATCCCTTTCTGGTGTCACTCCTTTATATAGGGCTGTTATGTGATACCATCATCAGAGGCAAACATTCAGGTAATGTCAATAAATTGTTTGCATTGAAGATACAGACACTTCAATTCTGCAAATTATTATGATGGAGTGTTGAGTTAGAATGTATATATGCACATCAAAGAAACTTTTATATGTTAATCAATCATGCTGGAATGAGTGCAAGACATTTAAATAGATACTTTATTTATTTTACCCTATTATGAACAAATTTTATCAATTTATTACCGAAATTGCACTTGTTTTCCCAGTGTATAAAATGTATCTGAATAATTTGTATCCCCCTATCAAAATGTACTCACCTTGTATAAAGGGTACCCCTATCGAACATTTTATGTTTCAATGCTGTAAATCTAAGAGAATAAAGAAGTTGAGTTGGAGATTACAGGGGAATATTTATCCCCCCTCCCTTGACTTTCTTTCAAGGTCACTGGGGTCAAATATGTCGAACACTTTTATCACTTTATTACTGCTTTTGTTTTTCAGGTGTATAAAATGTATTTGAATTATTTTTATACCCCTACCAAAATTTACACGCCCCATGTAAAGGGTATCCCTACCAAACATTTTATATTTCAATGTTGTAAATCTCAGAGAATAAAGGAGATGAGTAGGAGATGACAGGGAATATTTATTCTCCATCACCCGAGCTCGGAGGCGGGTCATGAGTTGGTTGCGGGTGATAGGTTAATTTTGCGGGTGTGACCCGCAAGATGCGGGTCATTTAGCAGGTCTGCACCCCTTGTCCCTAGTCAAGTATTGAGGCACTCATAGGGGTCTTAGTGTAGGGGTAAACCAGAGTATCTGGAAATAAACATGGGGATGGGCAGTGAACGTTTTACCTTTTTATGTCTGATAAGGGAATAGAACCTGCTGTCTTTGTGAAAGGCTCATGAGCTTAATTTAACTGTGCAATCCCACCACCCATGTTAGGGGCTTCGTTGTAAAAACCCACATGGACATTTAGAAATGTTGTTATATATTCCTTAGCCTTAATTACATGCTTTATTTTAGTCCACTTTAAGGTTACAAGGAAGGAATATGCACGCATACATACAGCACATCGACTGTGACTGGACTATTATAGACACATATTCCTATCACAAAGCAGAAACGTTTGATAAAAGTATGCCATTTAAAAACTAAAACTGAAAGATCCTCTAGCATCTACAATGGGCACAACAGACCTGTTCTAGTTTTAACATGACAAAGGAAACTGGAAGTGAGTAATTCTGATACATTATGTAACAAAATATAAATTACTGTCATTCGCCGGAAATACATGTTTAGCTCAGATTTTTATAGTGTCAGGTTGTTAGTAGTGTAAAGGCTGTTAAATCAGTAGGTTTACTCAACTGTCTAGCTAAGTCTAGCAACTTATTTCATAATGAATTTTGATAAAAGATTGGCCATGGCAAAGTGATGAACCATATAGAAGTTCAAGGTTGTAGGTCAAAGGTCATGGTCCCGGAACATCTTAAGATTTCTGATAGGCATGTTTTGTAGACACAATATCTCTGTACAATGATTGTGTGTGGTAAAAGGATCCTGTTAGAATTACACGAAATTATAGCCGCTAAAATAAAGAGTAGTTCGAACTTTCCAAGTTGATATCGGCAAAAATTGGTAAACAGTCAAGTCATTGATACGGAACAACAACGGCCTTATTGCGATATATATTTGCAAATCTGGAGATGAATAATGGTATATATATTTTTCTTATATTTACTAACATATTGATAATCAATTAATAAGTTCAATTTCAAAGCAGAGACAAGTATGTAGGCCGCAAATCAGTAGATGTTTTCTCGAGTAATGACGAAAGTTCAGTTGTACTGATCAGAATGCGGAAGGTGGATTGAAACTGCAATTACGGATTAATAGTTCGATCAACCACCTGGTCAAATATTTTTGTTTTGGCACATGTATAGGTAATACATCGGTGATCGTTAGCCAAGTTGCGATTATATAATCAAATTGTAATCACAGTAATATCATGACAATACACATGTCTGTCAGCAATGTGACGGTAACATTCCGCTCTCCGTGTACTGTTAGGATATTATACATGGTCAGGGCCTAAAGATGTTTGACTGGCGTGCACGCATGTTTACAAGAAAGAAACTTAATTATCGGTGACATGTGACTTATTTATGAACAAATTGTCCGACATTGATGACAACAATGGTCGCACATGAGTACTTCCCGTTATTCAGTAGTTAAACGCTGTCGATGCGCAAATAGATAAAGTTTCGCAAGGCTATTATTGCATCGCGGATAGCCAACCTCGATCAATAATGACGTAAGTTCAGTACTCAAGTTGTGTGTTTGGACAATCCGAAATGTGTGTAAGCAGGGTTCGAACTATCACTAGAAAGAAAACTATTATTTTTATTGTTCAAAAAGTGTGTTCAAACTATCCGCCTATTCGAACTGACCAGAGGTTTTCTGTATGTAGGTCAGAGGTCAAGGCCAGCAACTTATTTCATAATGGATTACAATGGTCAAGTAATATTAATAATAATAATAATTCGAGGTTCTTATAGACCGCTTTATCACAACCTAGTTTGTAGGTCGTCTCAAAGCGGTTCACAAATGATTTACTGTGGTGAAAGGGCTTTCGCAACCAGCCAATATATTTATCAACTCCCTGGGGAGCATGCAGCCAGTGCTGCCATTTTCAGCGCTCACAGCTAACATTCAACAATCCCAGCACTGCCCAACCATGTACTCATTTACAGCTGAGGAGACTAGAACAAGCGGAGTCAAGTATCTTGCTCAAAGATAAAACACAGTGCCATGCTGTGCCGTGCCGTGACTCGAACCCGCAACCCTTCGGTCCTACCACCCGCAACCTTTCGGTCACGTGCCTGGCGTCCTACCACTAGACTACCCTGCCTCCTAAGTATAGGAATACCTCAAACAAGCTTGCGTTTTAAAGTGCTAAGCTCAATAAAGGTTAAGTTATAGAAAATCATTGTTATCAGTGATGACTTCGTGTCTCATGAGATTTTGATTTAACTAAAATAAGTGATTACCCGGTCACTGGAAAGCATTGAGTTTCAGGGGTTTTTGACAATACCACGAAACTGGCTATTATTTACAGAAAATCTCTTGAAGAATACTTCAATGTTTTCTTATAGTTGTGTGACAAATTAATTATAAGAAAATGAAGTTGTTTGAGTAATCTGGCACCAGGAACTGTTGACAAGATGCAAGTTTGTTTGCTTTTTAACAGACTGTTAGCACAAAGGGATTGGTATCATATCCCGAGATACTTTACTAAAGAATCTGGTGTATGTTTCTGTTTGAGCAGATGTGGGCGAGCTTATTACCGGGCATGGGCTTATTACAGAGATATTAGTTTTCATGTATTGTAACATATTGTTAAGATTACAATCATTGGTATGTAAAAGTTACATGTATAATATCACTAACATTTTGTTCAGATCAGATCATGGAAAACTGATATATTCATCTAAACAAAATGTACCCTTGGTACTTCATGCATAAAAATATGTATGAATAGTTCTTAATGCGACATAAAACCTATGTTTTGAAGACCATGATGTATGTTGCTGGTACACTGGTTGTTACATAAAGCCTGCATTCATATCTTTATATAAGTTTTTTGGATGTACCAACATACCTAAATATATTAAAAAAGAAGTTTTTGTCAAATGTTATTGCGTTTTATCCTTCCAGGACCAAGTGTTGGCGCCAGACAAGCTCTGTAGGTTGTCTTACAAAGGAAGACAAGATGGTGGCTGAACGGGAAACTTGGAGTAAGAAGCTGGAGTTTATTCTGGCAGCCATTGGCTACTCTGTAGGGCTGGGCAATGTGTGGAGGTTTCCATACCTCTGTTTCCAAAGTGGAGGTGGTAAGTAGGAGCATTTTGTTTGAACAAAAATAATGTGAATTATTGTGAATTCAATCAGAGGTAAAACTTTAAGGCAATAGTTACATGGATTAGTACATGGATTAGAAAAGTAAGAAATCACAGACTGACATCACAATCTACATTGTATACAAAGGCAAGTTTTTACAAAGTAATTAAATGATCTGACAAAGCATGTTTTGATGCTTGTCATTGAAAACTTGTTCTTTCACTACAGTAAACTTTTAGTTTATAAGCTCACCTGCCCGAAGGGCTAGTGAGCCTATGCCATGGCGCCTCGTCTGTCGTCCCTCCGTCATCTGTCGTCCCTCCGTCATCTGTCGTCCGTCGTCCGTCAATTTTTCCTTTGAAAGAATTCTTTTGAAGAATGAACATGCCTAGAGGCATTATATTTGGCTGAAGCTTCGTTGGTAAGAGCCCAACAAAGTTTGAGAACAAAAATGACTGACCTACTTTCAAGGTCACAGGGGTCAAATATATCAAACACTTCTGAAGAAGAACTAAAAAAGTATAGAATCTTAATGTATGGCTGGTAGCTTCTTGTGATTGAGCCGACAAATTTTGCGAATTAAATGACCTTGACCTACTTTCAAGGTAACATGTGGTCAAATATGTCAAAAACATCAAACAACTTCTTCTGAATAATTGAAAGGCATGGAATCATAATATTTGGCTGGTAGCTCCTTTGGATGAAGCTCAACAAATTTTGCGATTGAAATGACCTTGACCTACTTTCAATATCACAGGGGTCAAATATGTCAAACATTTCAAATGACTTCTTCTGAAGTACTGAAAGGGACAGAATCTTAATATTTGGCTGGTAGCTTCTTGGGATTGAGCCAGACAAAGTTTGAGAATGATAATTACCTTGACCTACTTTCTAGATCACATGGGTCAAATATGTCAAACACTTAAAATAACTTGTTCTGAAGAACAAAGAGGCATTGAATCATAAAATTTGGCTGGTAGTTCCTTACTATTAAATCAGTTCAACTTAATGTCCTTGTTTGAATTTCAAGGTCACAGGGGTCAAAATCTGCTAGCAGGTCCTTTTGAATGACTTTTAACCAGACACTGATACTTTGTCTGTAGCTTTATTTTAGTCCACTTTAAGGTTACAAATGTGATGTTAATACCAGATGAGCCATGCAGGCCCATTGGGCTTCTTGTTGATAAAGCTGCAATTAAATATTTCATCTTTTGGAAATAATATGTCTTTCATATTTTCAGATGTGCCTTTTCTTCAAAACAAACATCAATTCATTGAAATATGAGTGATATTTATCAGAAAAACAGGAATATCTCAGATAACTTGATAAAACTGCAAAATAACTCATATTTTATGCATGCTAATGTTTTTGTTTTGTTTTACTGTCTATCAACCATTTAAAGTCACCTAGGGCCAAGAGATGTATATATATAGTATCATATATATTTGTGATGAGATTAAATTACATATTTCAATATCTCGTCAATATTTATACACATTAAGTCAGAAAATAATGACGTTCTACAAAAGCATCTCCATATTTTAAGCAAAATTACAAAAGATACTTTTGTGATGAAGGTGCATTCCTGTTCCCGTTTTTCCTGTTGTTGATACTTTGTTACTTTTGTGTTGAAGGTGCATTCCTGTTCCCATTTTTCCTGTTGTTGATACTTTGTTACTTTTGTGTTGAAGGTGCTTTCTTGTTCCCGTTTTTCCTGATGTTGATACTTTGTTACTTTTGTGTTGCAGGTGCATTCCTGTATTTCCTGATGTTGATACTTTGTTACTTTTTTGTTGTAGGTGCATTCCTGTTCCCGTTTTTCCTGATGTTGATACTTTGTTTCTTTTGTGTTGAAGGTGCTTTCTTGTTCCCGTTTTTCCTGATGTTGATACTTTGTTTCTTTTGTGTTGAAGGTGCATTCCTGTATTTCCTGATGTTGATACTTTGTTACTTTTGTGTTGAGGGTGCGTTCCTGTTCCCGTTTTTCCTGTTGTTGATACTTTGTTACTTTCGTGTTGAAGGTGCATTCCTGTTCCCGTTTTTCTTGATTTGATACTTTGTTACTTTTGTGTTGAAGGAGCATTCCTGTTCCCGTTTTTCTTGTGTTGATACTTTGTTACTTTTGTGTTGAAGGTGCATTCCTGTATTTCCTGATGTTGATACTTTGTTACTTTTTTGTTGAAGGTGCATTCCTGTTCCCGTTTTTCCTGATGTTGATACTTTGTGGCGTGCCGTTGCTGTATATGGAATTGGCTGTGGGACAGTATACACAGCAGGGACCTGTTGGTGCACTCGCCAAAATCTGTCCCCTTTTTAAAGGTACCATATCACCTAAATCTTTTCTCTTCTTGCATAAACCCTGTGATCGAAATTGTCCTTTTTGAAAGGTACAATAAGGTGAAAATCTGTCCTCCATGTCTAGATACCATGTGACAAAAAAGTACCAAGTTCTGTCTTCTTTTTAAATTGAAGTATACCTGCATCACCCACTGATGGTTGGCAGTGCTGTCTTATTAGGTCACTGTGACTGCCACCTCTTATATATAAGTCACAAGTTAAGGAAGTGCAAATTTTTCAGCGGAGGGAAATTTCCAGGCTGTTAATTTTAAACTGTTGTAGACATCTTGATGATAAATGAAGTATATTTCGATTGTTCAAAGAAGGTTTGCATTCCATTATATTGAAGTGACCTTGACCTAACCCTCTAGTTAAAATTTCAACTGCAAAGGAGAAATACATGTATACCAAGAAATGGAGACATGTCAGTTTTACAAACATAAACTCACAAGTAACTGTTTAATGTTAAACTTCTCTGTGATTAAATATTGTGGCAGGTTTTAATTGTACATAGGATTAAGGTCGCCTTCTAGCTTCGAGCTAGAGGGAATTTCCCTTTAGCTCAGTGGTAGAGCATCCGATTAGGAACCTGGAGATCGAGGCTGTTGAAACGTTACAAGAAGCACACTATTCTCTTTCCTGTTACAGTATGAAGTGAGTGTATATAAATACAACTGCCAGCTGCTGAAATTAGGATATTGAAACTTGCAATCAGGATTCCTGTTTAACAAATGACTGATAAAATCCTTAAACTACAGCTTTTAGGATTTGTTTGCAGTTGATTAATGTTGAATTCCCTATTAAGAAATACAAAATGAAAGTACAAGATATTGAACCAAGCATATTGTTTTGTTTTACAGGTGCAGGTCTGGCTACCGTGGTGATATCGTTCCTGTTCACGACCTACTACAATGTTATCATCAGCTGGTCATTTTATTACCTCTTTAGCAGCTTCAGTGGAGAGCTCCCGTGGAGCCACTGCAATCATGATTGGAACTCTCCTAACTGTTGGGATGGAAGTAAATCTCAATCTGTCCTAAAAAACATTACAATCAACAGTGTTACCATGCTGCAGAATGTCACAGATTTTGTTAAACCAAACGGTTCTGTATCGCCTACAGAAGACTTTTTTGAGTATGTACACATATCCTTTGTGCTAGAATTCAAAGTTGAGCATTATACCTTTGATTTGTAAGAGAGTTATCTCCCTTGGTTTTATAATTAGTGCTGATATCAATTATCAATACATATCTGTACATGTATCCTTGTGAACCTGTCAAATGTGCCTTGAAATGTCAGTCCAAACCATGTACATGTTAATGGGTATTTTCCGAAGAATCTAAGATTTCTGGTTCTAGTACTGTGTAGTGAAGAATGAAAAAGCATATCTACAATTGCTTGCAACAGAGTTCCATTTCAAATTTTCCATGATGTATGCCTGTGATACTTATATTTATGTTCAAACAAACAAAGCAATTTCTATTTCATCTTGGTTGGTGGTTTGTTTTGGTTAATGACACAATTTTAACAAAATATTCACCAAATGATGGAAAGCCATTTTTGTGGGAACAAACTTATGGGTACCATTCCTGTCATTTGTTAAATGTTAAGTGGAAACATGGTACCTTCCTGTACTAGAGCCTGGCAAAGTTTGTGAAATAAAATAACATGAAAACACTTTAGATTACAAGGCTTGAAAACATGAATGCATGCATGCTACCAGGATTGACACAATGGTCCAGCCCCTCCCCTGCAGAATAAATTTCTGGGTTATAACATAGAAACACTTTAGATCACCTCTTTACAACCATATGTACCATTGCAAGGCTTGAATACATGAATACGTTCATGCTAACAGGATTGGCTCAGGGGTCCATCCCCTCCCTTGGGGAACTTCTTTCTGGGTCATAGCTTAAAATACATAAAATCACCTCCTTACCAGGTCCAGTACACTCTGCCGATTGAGCTATATAGCTGTAAAGACCTATAATAGCTCTATTGACCTATGTGAAATAGGTCTTTTGAGCTATTTTAAAGTGATTTTCTTTTTTAAGGAAAACGAAACAAAGTCGCTTTTAAAAGAAGATTGTATCATTAAGTTGATAACAAAAGACATTAAATATGGGTATTCTTTTTAAAAAATAATGATGCAAAAAAATTGGAAATTTTACATTTATGAAAAATGAAAATAAATATCTAAATGTATGCTTTTTGTAGTCAACATTACCATAAACCTTATTGTTTTATGGGACTTTGCTTTAATTTAATGAAATTTGAAATCTGAGAAAATATAGCTCAATACAGCTATAATGTAGCTCAATCGGCAGAGTGTACTGGACCTGCTTACAACCATATGTACAATTGCTAGGCTTAAGGACATGGGATACATTCATGCTACCAGGACTGATGTGGGGTCCAGCCCATCCCTCTGGGTCATAACATAGAAACAGTTGAAATTCCCTTCCTATAATCATAGATACAACTGTTAGTCATGAAGAGATGCATACATGCCATATCTAACAATTTTGGCGTGAGACTCATGAAAACTGCCCGAGAAAAAAATCCTCACGGCTTGAGACACATTTCTCACAAATTTCTATCGGTCTCACGAAAAGAAACGAAATTTGGTCAATCTTAGTGAATAAACAATAGCTACATGGATTCACACTGAGATGTCTGAAGTCACACGCCAGCCATTTGAATTACAGGCCAGGCCAATAAGCATAGGTATGAAAGTTCTGAAAGGCCCGGCCAGTCGATTTAGCGGGGCATGGCTTGGTGACTTGCTCACCGATGTGTGAACTGTTAAGGAATTAAATCAGTGATCCCACACCCAGTGGGGGCTAGTTGCTAATTAATATGTGATGACAGTTGTTATTAACATTAAACAGCAACATAAGAGCTGTTAATTCATTACAATTGCAATCGAAAACATGGTTTACCGAAACGGAAATGTTGGAGGTGACTATAAAATCAAAACCGGACACTGACATTGAATCCGGAATTCATTCTCTTGCCGTCGGGATGGGATTGAGTGTTAATGAAAATAACATAAACAGAAGAAAACAAGTTTCTTCAGAATTTGATATATAAAAATAGTAGTTATTGGTAATTTTTTTCCCAACAAATTAATATTAAATATTCCCAATGTTTTGAGATATATTTTTTTCTGACCTGGGTTAACAAGGACATCCCTCTAGAATTTCTTCTTTTTTAATTTCTCTTCTTTTTTGCCTTTTATGTGATTTATTTACTTTTATATGTTGATAGATTTATCTGGACCGTATGTCATATGTAAACCTTCCTAAAATCCTTTAAAATATCAATAAATCTTCAATTTTGGCTAACAAAGTAATTAGAGGCTTCAGAATAACACAAAAGATTCAACACTATGTTATATGCGATATAATTAATGTTTTAAATGTCTCACAAATTTCTCACTAATTCTGAGAAAAAATCTCACTAATTTTTGACCAAATCTCACTAAAAATAATCACTGATCTCATTATTTTGCATGTATGGAGATGGCCCCGAAGTAGTCCTAAAATCCTTTAAAATATCAATAAATCTTCAATTTTGGCTAACAAAGTAATTAGAGGCTTCAGAATAACACAAAAGATTCAACACTATGTTATATGCTATATAATTAATGTTTTAAATGTCTCACAAATTTCTCACTAATTCAGAGAAAAAATCTCACTAATTTTTGACCAAATCTCACTAAAAATAATCACTGATCTCATTATTTTGCACCAGAAAGTTATGGCATGTATGGAGATGGCCCCGAAGTAGTGCCTCACACCTTGTACCCCCCCCCCCCCCCCNCCCCCCCCCCCCCTCCATGGAAAGAGTTGAGATCCCCACCCTTTAACCATAGACACAAATATTGGCCATGATGAAAAGGCCTGATGCCTTAAGTCAGTAGGTTTATTTAGAAGCAGTACAAATAAAATGCAAATATTACCTGTCTATGCCCTCTCATTGCAAATCATGTTATCAACTTCTACAATTATTTGTTTGGGGCAATAAATAGATACAAACCGGCCCAAAATGAATAAATTTTGTACTAATAATTCATGTTATTTGATTTTATTTTAGATCGAAAATGTTGCGGAAGAGTTCTGGAATTGAGGAAATGGGAAATCTAAACTGGGATTTGTCCCTGATCCTGTTGTTATGCTGGGTCATCGTGTACTTCTGTATATGGAAGGGGCCTAAGGGCACTGGCAAAGTAGGTCAACTTGTTTATGTACTGGGTCACAGCTAAAGTAGGTCAACTTGTTTATTGTACTGGGTCACAGCTTAAGTAGGTCAACTTGTTTATTGTACTTGGTTACAGTCAAAGTAGGTCAACTTGTTTATTGTACTTGGTCACAGTCAAAGTAGGTCAACTTGTTTATTGTACTTGGTCACAGTCAAAGTAGGTCAACTTGTTTATTGTACTTGGTCACAGTCAAAGTAGGTCAACTTGTTTATTGTACTTGGTCACAGTCAAAGTAGGTCAACTTGTTTATTGTACTTGGTCACAGTCAAAGTAGGTCAACTTGTTTATTGTACTTGGTCACAGTCAAAGTAGGTCAATTTGTTTATTGTACTTGGTCACAGTCAAAGTAGGTCAATTTGGTATTCAACTGTGTCACCTGTTAAGTAGATTGAGTTTTTTATTATACTGGGTCACATAAAAAGTTGGTGAAATTGTTGTTTTAATGTATTAAATGCAAAGTAGGTAATCTAGTTTTTTGTACTGGGTCACAATCAAAGTAGGCCAAATTGTAAAATAGATCAACTTGTATATTCTATTTGGTTGTAATGGGTCGCTAGAAAAGTATGTCAAATTGTTTTATTTTAGAATCTTTGTCATTTTCGTCTCTTTTGGTTCACTGTAACTAGTTTAAATGTTGCTTTATTACCTAAACACATGTGACTTACAATGTACATTTTGTAACTCTTTAGTTTGATTGTGTTCTAAATAAGTCACTGTGACCTAATTTCAAGAATTACTTGCTGCCCATTTGTAACCTAATTCCATTTCTTCCTATGATTTAATCATAAAATTTTGATTATTTTACAGGTTGTTTACTTCACTGCCACTTTTCCTTTTTTGGTTCTCATCATTTTACTGGTAAGGGGAGTAACTCTTCCAGGCTCATGGAATGGAATTATGTACTTCATATGGCCAAAATGGGAGCTACTTGCTGATCCTAAGGTTAGTAGCTTGACATATTTTCATTTAAGAATTAAGAATTAAAAATGAGTCAGCAATTTATTTTTAAATATCTAAAATAGGATTAGAAGACTTTCACCTTAAATCTATTGATTTTATTTATTATTTCCTTATGAACTTTTCATTATTATGAATAAGCTTTAATCCAGAAATATTTTATTACCTTCTAATTTGCAATCCTTGTGGTTGTTGGGTTATAGTCTTAACTTATCATTTCATTTAAGTGATTTTTATTAAAGGATAGAACATTTGCAGTATTTTTCAATCATCAATTATTTATTTTGGAAATTGTTATTCCTTTTTAAATTCTGTTTTTTTTCTGCCATTAACCCTATGATTTGATAACATTTTCCATATCTATTTGGTTTGAAAGACTTCAATGTTCCTATTTTCAATAAAGGAACTCATTTTTGTGTTTCTATAAATGTTTATCCCTTTTGTCTTGATTTTTGTTTACAATTTTTGTTTTCCATTATCTATTTAATTATATTTACATTCTGAATATGAACCATAACTGACATTTTCTGTATTCATTTGGATCTTGAAAATATCTGTACAAGTTCACATTTTAATGACCATGTGGAGGTGCATGTTATTTGAAAAAGTGACCAATCAAAAATAGCTATGTTTGTTTTCTGACCACAATTTTGCAAACTCCAAACTCTAGCAAATGAAGTGTTCATAATGAGATCAGAGGTAGCTAGCATGAGATAAAGTACCACATATGATTTAACAGTGGGGAAGTTTGAACCCATTTTTCAAGTTTATCAGAATGTTGCTTGTTTTTTGAAGTGATTTCACACAGCAAATGTTAGCAAACAATGTTTCATTGACTTTATTCACTTGGAAATAGATAGCAAACCAATGCCTACCTATATATAAAACTAATTACCCTTTAATCTGAGAATGATCGCAGAAACACAAGTAATTTTTGTTTGGCCCTAAACTCCATTTCTTACAGTCTGATTTAACTGAAACTTGGTACAACAGATTTTTCAGGTTTATTGAAAGTTCTGCTTACTGTAGTCACTGCAGTAGAAGCCTCCATAGTAACCTATAATCTCCCCCCTCCTTTGTACTCTGACTGGTATGGTCCTCCCCTCAATAGTTACCTATAACCTTTCCGTCTCTTTTGTATTCTGACTATGGCTCCATTCTAGCTTCTTATACCATGATTATAGACCCCCCCTCCTTTGTATTCTAACCATGGCCCCATTCTTCTTATACCATGGTTATATACCCCCCTTTCTTTTGTATTCTGACTATGGCTCCATTCTAGCTTCTTATACCATGATTATAGACCCCCCCTCCTTTGTATTCTAACCATGGCCCCATTCTTCTTATACCATGGTTATATACCCCCCTTTCTTTTGTATTCTGACTATGGCTCCATTCTAGCTTCTTATACCATGATTATAGACCCCCCCCTTTGTATTCTAACCATGGCCCCATTCTTCTTATACCATGATTATATACCCCCCTTTCTTTTGTATTCTGACTATGGCTCCATTCTAGCTTCTTATACCATGATTATAGACCCCCCCCTTTGTATTCTAACCATGGCCCCATTCTTCTTATACCATGATTATATACCACCCTCTCTTTTGTATTCTGACTATGGCTCCATTCTAGCTTCTTATACCATGATTATAGACCCCCCCCTTTGTATTCTAACCATGGCCCCATTCTTCTTATACCATGNTATGGCCCCTCCAATTCCTTTGTAGTCTATGACCCATCTCCATCTGCATTAACCTTTGGCCCCTCCCATCTTTGGTATTCTATGGCCCCCATTCTTGTTTGTGCTCTGACGATTGCCCCTAGCCTTCAATTACTGATGGCCCTTCCCATTTCTTGGGTCCTCTCCACTCATTGGTAGGCTCTCCACAAATGTATGTATTACTAACACTTAATTATCTCTATTGTATGTATTACTAACACTTAATTATCTCTATTGTATGTATTACTAACACTTAATTCCCTCGCTCTCACCCTTTCCTAAACTAGGATCCTGTCCCTGCTGTTGTCATATGCTTAATGTTGCTAATATCTGGTTTTAGCCCATACCTGTCAGTAGCATTGTGCCAGACAATAGCTCTTTACTGCTCCTGACAGGCCCCGCCTTCTGACTGTTACCACATGCCTAACTGTAACTCAGTACTTGACTGTCACCCTGTATCTAACTTACTCTGTGTCTGACTGTAACTCCTCTGCATCTGTTACCCTGTTCTTCCCTCTTACCCTGTGTCTGACTGTTACCCTGTATCTGGCTTACCCTGTATCTGACTGTAGCGCTGTGTCTGTTACCCTGTTCTTTCCTCTTACCCTGTGTCTGACTGTGACCCTATGGTCTCTGACTATAACCCTGTCTTTGACAGGCTCTTTGTCAGACTTTAACATTGTATCTGACTGTTACCCTGTATCTGACTGTAGCCAAGTGCCTGACTGTTGCCCTGTATCTGACTGTTACCCTGTATCTGACTGTAGCCAAGTGTGTCTGACTAATCCCAAGTCAGACTTTAACCCTGTGTCTGACTGTTACCTTGTATCTGACTGTTACCCTGTGTCTGACTATTACCCTGTATCTGACTGTTACCCTGTGTCTGACTGTTACCCTGTATCTGACTGTTACCCTGTGTCTGACTATTACCCTGTGTCTGACTGTTACCCTGTATCTGACTGTAGCCCTGTGTCTGTTACCCTGTGTCTGACTGTTACCCTGTGTCTGACTGTTACCCTGTGTCTGACTGTAACCCTGTGTCTGACTGTTACCCTGTATCTGACTGTTACCCTGTATCTGACTGTAGCCCTGTGTCTGTTACCCTGTTCTTCCCTTTTACCCTGTGTCTGACTGTCACCCTATGGTCTCTGACTATAACCCTGTCTTTGACAGGCTCTTTGTCAGACTTTAACATTGTATCTGACTGTTACCCTGTATCTGACTGTAGCCAAGTGCCTGACTGTTACCTTGTATCTGACTTTTACCCTGTGTCTGACTGTTACCCTGTATCTGACTGTTACCCTGTGTCTGACTGTTACCCTGTATCTGACTGTTACCCTGTGTCTGACTGTTACCCTGTATCTGACTGTTACCCTGTGTCTGACTATTACCCTGTGTCTGACTGTTACCCTGTGTCTGACTGTTACCCTGTACCGACTGTAGCCCTGTGTCTGTTACCCTGTATCTGACTGTTACCCTGTATCTGACTGTAGCCAAGTGCCTGACTGTTACCTTGTATCTGACTTTTACCCTGTGTCTGACTGTTACCCTGTATCTGACTGTTACCCTGTACCAACTGTAGCCCTGTGTCTGTTACCCTGTGTCTGACTGTTACCCTGTGTCTGACTGTTACCCTGTGTCTGACTGTAACCCTGTGTCTGACTGTAACCCTGTATTTGACTGTAACTCTGTATCAGACTGTAGCCTAGTGTGCCATGGCACCAGGCCGTATTACCTGTATATGAGATGCTGTTTTATTCCTCACAGGTATGGGTGTATGCCGCAGCACAGAACTTCAATTCTCTGGGGATAGCGTTCGGTGGTATCATAACGATGTCGAGCTATAACAAATTCAACAATAACATTATGAAGTATGTAAACATGTCACAGAATTTCCATGTCGGTTCCACAACTGTACACTTCATGTTTGGTATAGGAAACAACATGTTGAACCTTCAATTCTCCCATATCTACTTTTGTAGTGTTAAAAGCCTGATGTCATCGCTGTTTAAAGTTTTTGATTAAAGTATATTAAAGAAAATAACAAATTCTTTTGCAACCAAATTTTACTAAGGGTAATATTTGCCTTTGATTTTGTTGTTATTATTTTAATGTCTGTGTATTGTTCAATCTCTTTGGAAACAGAAGGATGTACTGTATTCGAATACACAATACAATTGACTAATTATATAAAATATAATATATACATTAGGTAAAATATTAGTTTATTTCTATCAAATCTGTTTGAAAGCCTATCTTTTTCTTTTTTAATTTAATTTAATATTGACAGCTTACACCTAGGTTTTTGATTGATAATGCATTAAAGATTTGTTCCATACAAATTGCAAAGAGAATTGATTTTAATGATCATTTTGATTCCCAAACCATAATTTAATTTTGATATAAAAAATGTAAATATGTGGCATTGTACTAATGAAAATTCAGAAAACAGGATGGAGGAGACAATTTAAAGAGCAAACTAGCTTTTTCATACGAAAGCAAATAGCTCATTTAATTATGAATATTTAATATAGAAAATTGTCCTGAAAGCAGATAACTCCAACAAAATCATTGGCAAAATGTGTGGAGTCATATTCTAAAGGGAGATAACTCAAGTATAAATCATAAATATAAAGTGTCATGTAAGTCTTCTGAAGTGAGATAACTCAAGTATGAATAACAGAGATCATATGTATGGTAAAGTATTGTCCTGAAGGGAGGTAACTCAAGTATGAATCATAAGAGATTATATGTATGGAAGAGTAGTGTCCTGAAGGGAGATAACTCAATTATGAATCGCAGAGATTATTTGTATGGTAGAGTATTGTTCTGAAGGGAGATAACTCAATTATGAATCACAGAGATTATATGTATGGTAGAGTATTGTTCTGAAGGGAGATAACTCAAGTATGAATCACAGAGATAATATGTAGGGAAGAGTAGTGTCCTGAAGGGAGATAACTCAATTATGAATCGCAGAGATTATATGTATGGTAGAGTATTGTCCTGAAGGGAGATAATTCAAGTATGACTCATAAGAGATTATAAGAATGGAAGAGTAGTGTCCTGAAGGGAGATAACTCAAGTATGAATCACAGAGATTATATGTATGGTAGAGTATTGTCCTGAAGGGAGATAACTCGAGTATGAATCATAAGAGATTATATGTATGGTAGAGTATTGTTCTGAAGGGAGATAACTCAAGTATGAATCTTAAGAGATTATATGTATGGTAGGGTATTGTTCTGAAGGGAGATACTCAAGTATGAATCACAGAGATAGTATGTATGGAAGAGTAGTGTCCTGAAGGGAGATAACTCAAGTATGAATCATAAGAGATTATATGTATGGTAGGGTATTGTTCTGAAGGGAGATAACTCAAGTATGAATCACAGAGATAGTATGTATGGAAGAGTAGTGTCCTGAAGGGAGATAACTCAATTATGAATCACAGAGATTTTATGTATGGTAGAGTATTGTCCTGAAGGGAGATAACTCAAGTATGAATCATAAGAGATTATATGTATGGAAGGGTAGTGTCCTGAAGGGAGATAACTCAATTATGAATCACAGAGATTTTATGTATGGTAGAGTATTGTCCTGAAGGGAGATAACTCAAGTATGAATCATAAGAGATTTTATGTATGGAAGAGTAGTGTCCTAAAGGGAGATAACTCAAGTATGAATCACAGAGATAATATGTATGGTAGAGTAGTGTCCTTAAGGGAGTTAACTCAATTATGAATCGCAGAGATAATATGTATGGTAGAGTAGTGTCCTGAAGGGAGATAACTCAATTATGAATCATAAGAGATAATATGTATGGTAGAGTAGTGTCCTGAAAGGAGATAACTCAATTATGAATCATAAGAGATAATATGTATGGTAGAGTAGTGTCCTGAAGGGAGATAACTCTAGCATTACTCACAGATATAAAGTGGAAGAAGCATACCAAAGGTACATCCTTTAAGAAAGAAATTTTCAATAATCATTTATGATCAGTGTAATTTCACATATTCATGTATCTGTTTTAGTTGTTTGTATATATATTTATTTTCCGAAAACTAGTCTTATCAGGTATGGGAGAATACTGTTACAACAGTCTAGTATATGACAACCAAAACAAAAACAAAAACATAACATCTATAAAATTTGATAGGAAGTATGGTCAATACCTCTCTTGTGTGTTCATCTGATGTTGGAGATTGCAGCGAGGGTATTGTCCTTATATATTTCTACATCATTAGGGCTTTAGTTTAAGTGAAATATATCCATTCACGAAATAAGCGAGAGTAATCTGTGACATCAGATAAACATGAGTGGCATTGCTTTTATTTCATACCTACAATTGTTCTATAAATGCTTTTATAGTTTTCTGCAGAACTATGCTCATCATTACCCCATACTTTTTGTTCAGTTGGCTTATTGAAAACTGGAACTGGGAAAAAAATGTCAGACAAAACGGGCACAGATTAATTACGTAAAAATAATATTTAGAACCCAATTTTTGTTTTAATTCCCTGATATGATAAACAGATAGAAACTGATGTTGTTGAGCTAAAAAGGAGTTCTATTATCAAAGTATTAAATACAGGACCTTGTATTGCATGTTCTGTAGACTGGCTGTTTCACTATATATAGTAAGATTCACCAGATCAGTAATAAATAATTTGACATAATTGCTTGTGACTTCAAGTATCACATTGAAATCATTCATTTATACGACATCCATGCAGGGTGAAATATGTTGTCGAGAGAAAGTACAAAAATGGAAGGTCATAAAATCTACAGTATTGTAGTATGAATTATCCAATGACATGATCATTGTCGTGGTAGCAATTTCTGTGGTGATGAATTTATGCTACCAGGTAATATTATTGGTGAATTCATATATCTAGTATTGAAATTCAATACCTATTATCTATACCTAGTACATGATACCATATGATACAGAAAGAAAAGCTACACACTTTTCCTTAAAATTTAACATTTATCCTTTACCAAACATGAAGATATAGGTAACAAAAATACTTTGGGACGATCATGAAATTGTCTGTTGAAACAAATGAAGTAGGGACAATTGACAAATTTCTTAAACAATGCAACAAAATGAAATTTATTCTGACCATAAAAAATAGTTGCAAAAGGTGTGATTTTGGATTTTAAATCTACCTTGTATATTTTGGATTGTTTTATAAGATTAAAGTGAAAACACGGGGAGGGGAATGTTAATCACATGCCACAATATTGATACACTCATTAGTGAATGTTATAAGCATAAAGTATCCAAATTAGTTTAGGAGATATTCCTATATATATTTTCATAATGCAGCAGGATGCAGCTCCTAAAATTCTATATTCATGTAGGTTGTGATTTTCCTTCCATTTTGATTTGTAAGTATCCTGGTGTGTGATGTACTCTTCCCAACCTTAAGTATTGTTCCCTTCAAACAATTACGAAAAGTTGTCTGAAAAGTAAGTTCATACAGTGTTCATTGATTTGTTTGTGTTCCAGAGGTTATATGGGGACAGTGTTCATTGATTTGTTTGTGTTCCAGAAGTTATATGTGGACAGGGTTCATTGATTTGTTTGTGTTCCAGAGGTTATATGGGGACAGGGTTCATTGATTTGTTTGTGTTCCAGAGGTTATATGGGGACAGTGTTCATTGATTTGTTTGTGTTCCAGAGGTTATATGGGGACAGTGTTCATTGATTTGTTTGTGTTCCAGAGTTAATTAATGTAGGGACAGGGTTAATTAAGGGAAACAGGTGTTTATATAAGGGTGAGGTGCTTAATTATATAGTGGAGAGGAGAGAAGGAGGTGTACATGAGAGGGCCATTATATATGGTTGGTTACATTAAAGAGTGATGGAAAGGGGGACATATAAAGGAATGGCTGAGCTTGTTATAGGGAATCCACTTGCTGTGAATAGTCGACTGGTATGATATGTTTCTGCAGTTATTGATTTGTAGAAACAACAGAAATCAATATAGTGATGTAACCCTAGAAGTTGACAGGGTGTTCCCCAGAATTGTAATGTTATAGTGATGTAACCCTAGAAGTTGACAGGGTGTTCCCCAGAATTGTAATGTTATAGTGATGTAACCCTAGAAGTTGACAGGGTTTTCCCCAGAATTATAATGTTATAGTGATGTAACCCTAGAAGTTGACAGGGTTTTTCCCAGATTTATAATGTTATAGTGATGTAACCCTAGAAGTTGACAGGGTTTTCCCCAGAATTATAATGTTATAGTGATGTAACCCTAGAAGTTGACAGGGTTTTCCCCAGAATTATAATGTTATAGTGATGTGACCCTAGAAGTTGACAGGGTTTTCCACAGATTTATAATGATCCACTAGGAGGGATGAGAGTGCTAGTGACTTGAACTACTGAAGCTCAGAAACATTGCCCAATAGATATAAATAATTAATATCATCATGTTAAAATAAGTATCAATTATTGAATTTCTTGATGATTTCAACACAAATTTTGCCCTTTAATGATACATTGATATAACTGTGTAATTGGTAGCAATACTTAATTTAAAGTTAAGGTTTTATAGTTTCAAATCAGATAATAGCATTGAAATGCAAAATATCAGGATCTTTTTGTGTGCTTGGAAATAAGGTCATAGGTATTTGAGTATTGGATATTGTGTCAAGTGTATCTTACAAAGTACTGAAGGGATTTCTCTCAAACGTGGGGTAATACTTTTCTCTCATGTGATATTGTGCATGTCGTCGAATTCGAACAAAATACCTTTGAGTTATGTGCCTTTTCATATATCAGAAAATTTATTTTGTCTGCACAACTCCTACTTTTTCCATTTCTGCTGAATTGCAGGAAACTTCACTGACATAATCCACACACTCTGAAGTCGTACACCTGCAGATTAAATTTTGATCAGGCCATTTTTATGGGATTTGTGCCCCCATTTTACGAAAATTAGCTAAAAGGTCTGGGGTACATCATTTAAACCATTTCACCTAGAGTAAGTGGGTTTGGTTTGTAAGTATACCTTGGGATAACAGAGTGTAAAGTACAAAAAGAAGGTCACTGTGACCTATGGTTTGACCTTTGAGTTTAACCTTTGAAAAAAAATGTTTGGGGCATGTACTTATTAACCTGAATTAATCATATTTGGTATGTAAGTTTAGAGCTATGAAGTATACCACTGTGGCCTATGTGCTAAAATAGGTGTACATCTCAGTCAATAAAGAAATCATGACGGCTGGGGGACTAGGGATTGCTGTGCGATGCTTTGACATGGCCAGCTTTTTGGCTTATGGTTTTAGTTTATATGTGAGCAGGCGGTATTAGCTAGCTTTTACAGTTCTACTTTATATGGGAGAGAAGGATACAAGTTAACCTTTGGCTTACAGTTCTATTTTATATGGGAGGGAGGGGTATAAGTTAGCCTTTGGCTTACAGTTCTAGTTTATATGGGAGCGAGGGGTATAAGTTAGCCTTTGGCTTACAGTTCTATTTTATTTGGGAGCGAGGGGTATAAGTTAGCCTTTGGCTTACAGTTCTAGTTTATATAGGAGAGAGGGGTACAAGTCAACCTTTGGCTTACAGTTCTATTTTATTTGGGAGCGAGGGGTATAAGTTAGCCTTTGGCTTACAGTTCTAGTTGGATTTATATGGATGGTCTCTAAATATCATCTGTCGTTTGGTTTTCAAATCTTGCAAAAAACTCTTTTTTTTCAAAACCTTCTGTTAATGTGTATACCATCAAATATTCTATTATTTTTCTATTTGGTGTTCAATTTGTTGTATACAAAATGTACTTACAGCAATACGTATATTTATCCTTGACTCTGATAATATCTAGTTATTTTCACTTTTGATGTCCATAGTATCTGTCTTTGAGCTCCTTTGACTAACCACAGTTGTCTGCCCTTGTATGTTACAGAGATGTGTTGACAATAGCAGTGGTTGATGCTGTAACATGTATCGTAGCTGGACTTGCGATATTTGCTACACTAGGTTATCTTGCTGAGAATCAACAGACGGACGTCACAAATGTTATAAAACAAGGTAAGTGATGATCTTCATGTACTCATTGCTGACCAGTCCTTTTTAGCTGACCTGGTCCAAAGGACCTGTGATTTAGCAAGCCCTGACTCTATTGTCATTGTCTGTAATCTGCACATAAAAAGTTTTTTTCCTCCCGACTCGGTGATTATAAAGACTGAAACCTTTCCGCAAAAAAAAATGCATCCTTTGGATCCGGACCAGATGATCACACATTGTGTTCAGGAGAGGTGTGGTACCTCTGGAGATGAACAATGCCCAACCCCTTGGATATTAGCCTGCAAAAAAATACTTTTCCTTAATGAATTTTTACCATGTTTAGCATTTAGAATCACAAGGACATGCAAGGAAATGAAGTGTTGTGTATGAATCAATTTTCTAAAATTCAATTCCACCAGTTCAGTTTTAAGAATTTTAATTGTTCTTGCTGTTTATCTGTTTACTTTGGTTTACCAGAGTTGGCAGCCATATAATTTACCAAAAGTCGCTATTGTTTTCATCACTTCAAGTTTGTAACAGTAATATTTTGGTAACTTTCAACAGAATTTGATATTAAAGGAGTTCATGTAAAGTCACATGATATAAAACAAACTTAACAACCTACATATACACATAAAATTGTTATAGAAAACATGATATTAAGTGAAATGTGATATTAAACAATGGCACGTAAGTAGAAACTTCCACCTCTTGAACCTATACATGTTAGACTATTACTGATTGGATTGTGTATTTTCCATACAGGTCCCAGCCTATTACCTCTTGAACCTATACATGTAAGACTTTTACTGATTTGTTCGTGTTTTTTCTGTACAGGTCCTGGCCTAGTATTCATCATTTACCCAGAAGCCTTCACCACGATGCCTGTCCCACAGCTCTTCTCCGTCGCCTTCTTCTTCATGCTTATCTGTCTAGGTATAGATAGTCAGGTGAGTAGAGTTTACAGATGGAATTATTCTGGATAAACTGATAACTGGCAGTTTAATAGATAAACTGACAGATAAATGGATGATCTGTATTTACTGGATAGCTGAAACAGTATGTCATTTGAAAGTTTTCGGACTAAAATGACAATATCATGATTGGCTCACACTAAATAGTTTTAGAAAAAATAACCATAACTGTTTCTTTCTTTCCAATATTATTTTCTGAGTCTTGGTATATATGATGGCAATAGACATTTCAGAATTCATGACTTCAACTGACTGTTGATAATTATGGTTCATTGACTGGTTAGGACTGGAAAGATGTGAAATACCTAAATTAGATTTATATATTAATAATTATATAACTATGACTGATCTGTATGAGAGTTTATAGGTTCTTATCCTGATGTTCCACATCTGCGTTTTCAAAATTTGTATCTGGATTTATAGAAAGTTTTTATTCAGATTGAAAAATAGACGGGGGGAAAAAATAAAAAAATTTTGAAATGTTTTTAAATTAAAAATTTATATTTGGTTAATGCTGTTATGCAAATAGAAATCTTTGACATTGTCACAATTTCTATACGACAGTTTGCGTCAGTGGAGGTTATCGTGACAACCCTGAACGACCACTTTGGGGAATACGTGGAGAAGTACCTAAAGCGTAAGGAGGTGCTGGTTTTCGTTGTTTGTGCCTTCTCGTTCCTGTGTGGACTGCCCAACGTAGCACAGGTGAGTAAAGTCTGAACACAAACATACTCCTCAATCAGTGTCTTTTGTTTTTTTGTGACAAGATTGTACAAGGAATATAGTGTTGGGTTTGCTTGTATGTATATAAGTGTAACAGGAAAGAGAAAAGTGTGCCTCCTACGGGGTCGAACCCTCAATCTCGGGGTTCCTAGTCGGACGCTCTACCACTGAGCTAAAGGGAAATTCCCTCTAGCTCGAAGCTAGAAGGCAACCTTAATCCTATGTACAATTAAAACCTGACACACAACTCCCCCCTTTTTAAATGTGTTCGCCCTCGAAAACCTCAACCCTGGTTCTGAATCCCTGTCACCACAGGAGGGCCACATACAACATTTGTAACAGGAAAGAGAATAGTGTACTTCCATTGGGGATCAAACCCTCGATCTTCAGGTTCCTAGTCGGACGTTCTGCCTCTTAGCTAAAGGAAATTCTCTCTTACTCTGAGCTAGAAGGCAACCTTAATCCTATGTACAATTAAAACCTGCCACATAAGTTCATTTATATTATATACTTAGGGTCTTATAACTTCACTACTTGTTGACCAAATTCAGAAAAAAATTGTGGTTTGATCCTAGTACTGTACTGTCATAGGGGTGCTGGATCAATTTTGTGTAAGGCCTAAATACTGAACCTTGCCATATGCTTTTAACAAAATTTTCAAATTTAACAAAAGAAACCATTCCAAAATGAACTTCTGATATGTACAGACACAGTGCACAATAATTTAGTCCAAAACCAGTAAAAACCAATAAAAACCAGAATGGTGCAAATGTCTGAAGTAGAGAGGACAGGCTTTTTTACTTGCTCTAATTTTGCAAGGTCAATCACAATGTCACGTTGCCTTCATGCATCAACTATTGTCTGTTAAGTTAGTCACCTTAGGCATACTGAACAGTAACAGATCTCCTAGGAGTGCAAGTCCACACATAACGCTGCAATGTGTTTCTCACCTCTGGAACTGTCTTCAAATAGCATAGAAACAGCTAGTAACCTAATTGGTAATCAACAGTGTCTGCAATGTTGTTGTGCACATGCTCCAAATGTGCATTGCTTGACTGATAGTGTTCAACCCCCCCTTAGTTGTCATACATGCAGGGCAATCTCACAGCCATAAGATACCGGGATCATGTCCTCAAGTCCCACGGGATCATGTCCTCAAGTCCCACAGGATCATGTCCTCAAGTCCCAGAGGATCATGTCCTCAAGTCCCAGAGGATCATGTCCTCAAGTCCCACAGGATCATGTCCTCAAGTCCCACAGGATCATGTCCTCAAGTCCCAGAGGATCATGTCCTCAAGTCCCACAGGATCATGTCCTCAAGTCCCACAGGATCATGTCCTCAAGTCCCACAGGATCATGTCCTCAAGTCCCACAGGATCATGTCCTCAAGTCCCACAGGATCATGTCCTCAAGTCCCACAGGATCATGTCCTCAAGTCCCACAGGATCATGTCCTCAAGTCCCACAGGATCATGTCCTCAAGTCCCACAGGATCATGTCCTCAAGTCCCACAGGATCATGTCCTCAAGTCCCACAGGATCATGTCCTCAAGTCCCACAGGATCATGTCCTCAAGTCCCACAGTATCATGTCCTCAAGTCCCAGAGGATCATGTCCTCAAGTCCCACAGGATCATGTCCTCAAGTCCCACAGGATCATGTCCTCAAGTCCCAGAGGATCATGTCCTCAAGTCCTACAGTATCATGTCCTCAAGTCCCACAGGATCATGTCCTCAAGTCCCACAGGATCATGTCCTCAAACCCCACGTCATTACCTTAATCCTTCAATGGAATCTAACCTTCCATCAGGAAAACACCAGGCCACATGTTGTGAAGAGATTGGGATAAACCGTTTCAAATCCAAACCTACTCTTACCTACAGAGCTTGTGATAGATCATTTCAAACGCAAACCTACTCTTACCCACAGAGCTTGCGATAGATCATTTTAAACCCAAACCTACTCTTACCTTCAGAGCTTGTGATAGATCATTTCAAACCAAATTAACCCTACTCTTACCCACAGAGCTTGTGATCGATCATTTCAAACCCAACCCTACTCCTTCTCACAGAGCTTGTGATAGATCATTTCAAACACAAACCTACTCTTACCCACAGAGCTTGTGATCGATCATTTCAAACCAAATTAACCCTACTCTTACCCACAGAGCTTGTGATCGATCATTTCAAACCAAATTAACCCTACTCTTACCCACAGAGCTTGTGATACATCATTTCAAACCCAAACCTACTCTTTCCCACAGAGCTTGTGATAGAGCTTGTGATAGAACATTTCAAACCCAAACCTACTCTTACCCACCGAGCTTGTGATAGAGCTTGTGATAGAACATTTCAAACCCAAACCTACTCTTACTCACAGAGCTTGTGATAGATAATGTCAAACCCAAACCTACTCTTACCTACTGAGCTTGTGATAGATCATTTCAAACACAAACCTACTCTTACCCACAGAGCTTGCGATAGATCATTTTAAACCCAAACCTACTCTTACCTACATAGCTTGTGATAGATCATTTCAAACCCAACCCTACTCTTACCCACAGAGCTTGTGATAGATCATTTCAAACCAAATTAAACCTACTCTTACCCACAGAGCTTGTGATAGATCATTTTAAACCCAAACCTACTCTTACCTACAGAGCTTGTGATAGATCATTTCAAACCAAATTAAACCTACTCTTACCCACAGAGCTTGTGATAGATCATTTCAAACCAAATTAAACCTCCTCTTACCCACAGAGCTTGTGATAGATCATTTCAAACCAAATTAAACCTACTCTTACCCACAGAGCTTGTGATAGATCATTTTAAACCCAAACCTACTCCTACTCACAGAGCTTGTGATAGATCATTTCAAACCCAAACCTACTCTTACCTACAGAGCTTGTGATAGATCAATTCAAACCCAAACCTACTCCTACTCACAGAGCTTTTGATAGATCATTTCAAACCCAAACCTACTCGTACCTACAGAGCTTGTGATAGATCATTTTAAACCCAAATCTATTCCTACTCACAGGGTTTGTGATAGATCATTTCAAACCCAAACCCACTCTTACTCACAGAGCTTGTGATAGATCATTTCAAACCAAATTAAACCTACTCTTACCCACAGAGCTTGTGATAGATCATTTCAAACCAAATTAAACCTACTCTTACCCACAGAGCTTGTGATAGATCATTTCAAACCAAATTAAACCTACTCTTACCCACAGAGCTTGTGATAGATCATTTCAAACTCAAACCTACTCTTACCTACAGAGCTTGTTATAGATCATTTTAAACCCAAATCTATTCCTACTCACAGGGTTTGTGATAGATCATTTCAAACCCAAACATACTCTTACTCACAGAGCTTGTGATAGATCATTTCAAACCCAAACATACTCTTACTCACAGAGCTTGTGATAGATCATTTCAAACTCAAACCTACTCTTACCTACAGAGCTTGTGATAGATCAATTCAAACCCAAACCTACTCCTACTCACAGAGCTTGTGATAGATCATTTCAAACCCAAACCTACTCTTACTTGTATTATTTGTATAATTACAAACACTGTATAATGTATAATTACAGACATTGTATAATGTATAATTACAGACACTGTATAATTACAGACACTGAATAATGTATAATTACAGACATTGTATACTGTATAATTACAGACACTGTATAATGTATAATTACAGACACTGTATAAGTACAGACACTGTATAATTACAGACACTGTATTATGTATAATTACAGACACTGTATAATGTATAATTACAGACACTGTCTAATGTATAATTACAGACACTGTATAATGTATAATTACAGACACTGTATAATGTATAATTACAGACACTGTATACTGTATAATTACAGTCATTGTATAATGTATAATTACAGACATTGTATAATGTATAATTACAGACACTGTATAAAGGATATGTACAGACACTGTACAATGTATAATTACAAACACTGTATAATGTATAATTACAGACACTGTATAATGTATAATTACAGACACTGTATAATGTATAATTACAGACATTGTATAATGTATAATTACAGACACTGTATAATTACAGACACTGTATACTGTATAATTACAGACACTGTAAAATGTATAATTACAGACACTGTAAAATGTATAATTACAGACACTGTATACTGTATAATTTTAGACACTGTAAAATGTATAATTACAAACACTGTATAATGTATAAATTCCTAGAGAATGCTGTGGTAATGTTAACTTCGACATTTCCAATAATTGTTGGATCCCAATGATAATCTGTATACTGACATTTCCAAGGACTGCCAATAGACTTCCATTAGCATGTCAGCTCTGACATTTCTAGAGATTTTCAATAGCCTGCCATTAAAATCAGTACACATACTCTGACATTTCTCGAGATTTTCAATAAACTGCCGTTATAATCTGTACTCTGACATTTCTAGAGATTTTCAATAGCCTGCTGTTAAAATCAGTACTTGTATTTGGATATTTCTAGAGATTTTCAATAAACTCCTTTTATTCAGTATGTGTACATTTCCAGGGAGGACTGTATTATAATCAGTATGTGTACTCTGACATTTCCAGGGAGGACTGTATTATAATCAGTATGTGTACTCTGACATTTCCAGGGAGGACTGTATTATAATCAGTATGTGTACTCTGACATTTCCAGGGAGGACTGTATTATAATCAGTATGTGTACTCTGACATTTCCAGGGAGGACTGTATTATAATCAGTATGTGTACTCTGACATTTCCAGGGAGGACTGTATTATAATCAGTATGTGTACTCTGACATTTCCAGGGAGGACTGTATTATAATCAGTATGTGTACTCTGACATTTCCAGGGAGGACTGTATTATAATCAGTATGTGTACTCTGACATTTCCAGGGAGGACTGTATTATAATCAGTATGTGTACTCTGACATTTCCAGGGAGGACTGTATTATAATCAGTATGTGTACTCTGACATTTCCAGGGAGGACTGTATTATAATCAGTATGTGTACTCTGACATTTCCAGGGAGGACTGTATTATAATCAGTATGTGTACTCTGACATTTCCAGGGAGGACTGTATTATAATCAGTATGTGTACTCTGACATTTCCAGGGAGGACTGTATTATAATCAGTATGTGTACTCTGACATTTCCAGGGAGGACTGTATTATAATCAGTATGTGTACTCTGACATTTCCAGGGAGGACTGTATTATAATCAGTATGTGTACTCTGACATTTCCAGGGAGGACTGTATTATAATCAGTATGTGTACTCTGACATTTCCAGGGAGGACTGTATTATAATCAGTATGTGTACTCTGACATTTCCAGGGAGGACTGTATTATAATCAGTATGTGTACTCTGACATTTCCAGGGAGGACTGTATTATAATCAGTATGTGTACTCTGACATTTCCAGGGAGGACTGTATTATAATCAGTATGTGTACTCTGACATTTCCAGGGAGGACTGTATTATAATCAGTATGTGTACTCTGACATTTCCAGGGAGGACTGTATTATAATCAGTATGTGTACTCTGACATTTCCAGGGAGGACTGTATTATAATCAGTATGTGTACTCTGACATTTCCAGGGAGGACTGTATTATAATCAGTATGTGTACTCTGACATTTCCAGGGAGGACTGTATTATAATCAGTATGTGTACTCTGACATTTCCAGGGAGGACTGTATTATAATCAGTATGTGTACTCTGACATTTCCAGGGAGGACTGTATTATAATCAGTATGTGTACTCTGACATTTCCAGGGAGGACTGTATTATAATCAGTATGTGTACTCTGACATTTCCAGGGAGGACTGTATTATAATCAGTATGTGTACTCTGACATTTCCAGGGAGGACTGTATTATAATCAGTATGTGTACTCTGACATTTCCAGGGAGGACTGTATTATAATCAGTATGTGTACTCTGACATTTCCAGGGAGGACTGTATTATAATCAGTATGTGTACTCTGACATTTCCAGGGAGGACTGTATTATAATCAGTATGTGTACTCTGACATTTCCAGGGAGGACTGTATTATAATCAGTATGTGTACTCTGACATTTCCAGGGAGGACTGTATTATAATCAGTATGTGTACTCTGACATTTCCAGGGAGGACTGTATTATAATCAGTATGTGTACTCTGACATTTCCAGGGAGGACTGTATTATAATCAGTATGTGTACTCTGACATTTCCAGGGAGGACTGTATTATAATCAGTATGTGTACTCTGACATTTCCAGGGAGGACTGTATTATAATCAGTATGTGTACTCTGACATTTCCAGGGAGGACTGTATTATAATCAGTATGTGTACTCTGACATTTCCAGGGAGGACTGTATTATAATCAGTATGTGTACTCTGACATTTCCAGGGAGGACTGTATTATAATCAGTATGTGTACTCTGACATTTCCAGGGAGGACTGTATTATAATCAGTATGTGTACTCTGACATTTCCAGGGAGGACTGTATTATAATCAGTATGTGTACTCTGACATTTCCAGGGAGGACTGTATTATAATCAGTATGTGTACTCTGACATTTCCAGGGAGGACTGTATTATAATCAGTATGTGTACTCTGACATTTCCAGGGAGGACTGTATTATAATCAGTATGTGTACTCTGACATTTCCAGGGAGGACTGTATTATAATCAGTATGTGTACTCTGACATTTCCAGGGAGGACTGTATTATAATCAGTATGTGTACTCTGACATTTCCAGGGAGGACTGTATTATAATCAGTATGTGTACTCTGACATTTCCAGGGAGGACTGTATTATAATCAGTATGTGTACTCTGACATTTCCAGGGAGGACTGTATTATAATCAGTATGTGTACTCTGACATTTCCAGGGAGGACTGTATTATAATCAGTATGTGTACTCTGACATTTCCAGGGAGGACTGTATTATAATCAGTATGTGTACTCTGACATTTCCAGGGAGGACTGTATTATAATCAGTATGTGTACTCTGACATTTCCAGGGAGGACTGTATTATAATCAGTATGTGTACTCTGACATTTCCAGGGAGGACTGTATTATAATCAGTATGTGTACTCTGACATTTCCAGGGAGGACTGTATTATAATCAGTATGTGTACTCTGACATTTCCAGGGAGGACTGTATTATAATCAGTATGTGTACTCTGACATTTCCAGGGAGGACTGTATTATAATCAGTATGTGTACTCTGACATTTCCAGGGAGGACTGTATTATAATCAGTATGTGTACTCTGACATTTCCAGGGAGGACTGTATTATAATCAGTATGTGTACTCTGACATTTCCAGGGAGGACTGTATTATAATCAGTATGTGTACTCTGACATTTCCAGGGAGGACTGTATTATAATCAGTATGTGTACTCTGACATTTCCAGGGAGGACTGTATTATAATCAGTATGTGTACTCTGACATTTCCAGGGAGGACTGTATTATAATCAGTATGTGTACTCTGACATTTCCAGGGAGGACTGTATTATAATCAGTATGTGTACTCTGACATTTCCAGGGAGGACTGTATTATAATCAGTATGTGTACTCTGACATTTCCAGGGAGGACTGTATTATAATCAGTATGTGTACTCTGACATTTCCAGGGAGGACTGTATTATAATCAGTATGTGTACTCTGACATTTCCAGGGAGGACTGTATTATAATCAGTATGTGTACTCTGACATTTCCAGGGAGGACTGTATTATAATCAGTATGTGTACTCTGACATTTCCAGGGAGGACTGTATTATAATCAGTATGTGTACTCTGACATTTCCAGGGAGGACTGTATTATAATCAGTATGTGTACTCTGACATTTCCAGGGAGGACTGTATTATAATCAGTATGTGTACTCTGACATTTCCAGGGAGGACTGTATTATAATCAGTATGTGTACTCTGACATTTCCAGGGAGGACTGTATTATAATCAGTATGTGTACTCTGACATTTCCAGGGAGGACTGTATTATAATCAGTATGTGTACTCTGACATTTCCAGGGAGGACTGTATTATAATCAGTATGTGTACTCTGACATTTCCAGGGAGGACTGTATTATAATCAGTATGTGTACTCTGACATTTCCAGGGAGGACTGTATTATAATCAGTATGTGTACTCTGACATTTCCAGGGAGGACTGTATTATAATCAGTATGTGTACTCTGACATTTCCAGGGAGGACTGTATTATAATCAGTATGTGTACTCTGACATTTCCAGGGAGGACTGTATTATAATCAGTATGTGTACTCTGACATTTCCAGGGAGGACTGTATTATAATCAGTATGTGTACTCTGACATTTCCAGGGAGGACTGTATTATAATCAGTATGTGTACTCTGACATTTCCAGGGAGGACTGTATTATAATCAGTATGTGTACTCTGACATTTCCAGGGAGGACTGTATTATAATCAGTATGTGTACTCTGACATTTCCAGGGAGGACTGTATTATAATCAGTATGTGTACTCTGACATTTCCAGGGAGGACTGTATTATAATCAGTATGTGTACTCTGACATTTCCAGGGAGGACTGTATTATAATCAGTATGTGTACTCTGACATTTCCAGGGAGGACTGTATTATAATCAGTATGTGTACTCTGACATTTCCAGGGAGGACTGTATTATAATCAGTATGTGTACTCTGACATTTCCAGGGAGGACTGTATTATAATCAGTATGTGTACTCTGACATTTCCAGGGAGGACTGTATTATAATCAGTATGTGTACTCTGACATTTCCAGGGAGGACTGTATTATAATCAGTATGTGTACTCTGACATTTCCAGGGAGGACTGTATTATAATCAGTATGTGTACTCTGACATTTCCAGGGAGGACTGTATTATAATCAGTATGTGTACTCTGACATTTCTAGGGAGGACTGTATTATAATCAGTATGTGTACTCTGACATTTCCAGGGAGGACTGTATTTCTTCTCCCTCCTCGACCACTATGCTGCTGCCGTCTCTCTCATGTATCTCGCCTTCTTTGAGGTTATCGCCATCACGTGGATTTATGGTAAGTACATGTAATCTGCAAGCTGCATAGCTGCGAATATGGGTACCAACAGACACAGCTGTGTAGTATATGTAGACTAGACTCAGCATGACTACCTTTGATTCAGTCGTGGGTAATGTCATGAGGATCGCTGGACTTGACGATCCTTGAATTATTAACAGGATTAAATGTGGGAACTAACCATATTTTGGAAGGGATTTATTTGTCTTTATCAAACAAATGTATTATTTAATTTGTTTAGATTTAATGATTTATCACATATTCATCACATATTTTTTTTTTTTTAACTTTTACAGGTGCAAATCGACTCTCAAAAAATGTAAAGGAAATGAATGGCAGCACCCCATACAGATTTTTCACTTTCTGCTGGTATTTCCTGTCCCCTGTCCTTATATTTGTAAGTGTTTCCACCTTTAGATCATTGTAAAATATAGATATAAACCCCTTCATCTGCTACCTTCCCTTTTGTTAACATATATAATAGGCGAAATAGGTCATTGTTTGAAATCGTCTTTGTGGTAAAAGAAAAAATTGCAAGTTACTCGTTTATCTTTCTTATTAGATTTCAAAGAAACTTGAAGGAAACACATTATATTTTGCACAAAATATTTTGATTTAAATTCAGTATGAAAATGTTCCTGACTTTATGTAGTTGTCCAAACATTCACTCCTTTACTTCCATTTAGAAGATGTCACACACAATTTATCCTTTTATGGACCGTTATAATCAAATGCAATTGATATTTAAATTGTTTTGTGCTTACCAGGATAGCTCCTATATGATTTAGTTTAACCCATGAGTTGTAAAACAATACTATTACTATTCAAAACTTAATTATCAGCTATGGAATCCTTGTAGAGGTAGAAGACACCACTGCATCAATTGCATTAAAACTAATTCTTGTAAAAAGCTCCCTTATATATAGAGGATGCAGCAACAAAAAACCATGTTCCCGATAACAAGTCAATTACTTCCTCTGTCAAGGTATTGTGACCTATATATTTATGTCAAGGTATTGTGACCTATATATTTATGTCAAGGTATTGTGACCTGTATAGTTATGTCAAGGTATTGTGACCTATATATTTCCAGGTTCCTCTGTCAAGGTATTGTGTCCTATATATATATGTCAAGGTATTGTGACCTATATATTTATGTCAAGGTATTGTGACCTATATATTTCCAGGTTATCTGGCTGTTCAGCATGATCATGTACAAGCCATTTAAGTTGGATGACTACGACTACCCAGACTGGGCCACCGCGCTTGGCTGGTTCTTCGCCTTGCTATCTGTGATCTGTGTTCCCTTAGGTATGGCGCACGCCTTCTACATGGCCAAGGGAGACAACTTGTGGCAGGTAAGAAATAATTATATTACTCTGAGGTATTCCAAAATGACAGCTATTCCACATTAGGTTGGATGTTGTGTTTCGTGTTGATGTGCAGTGTTGAAATACCTGTTTCCAGGTCGTTAAGTCTGTATATTAGCTCACCTGATCTGCTGTACACAGGTGAGCTTATGCTGTATGTATTTCGCATTGCACATTGCAAAAAAAGGTTTGCCCAAAGGGAATAAGCTTTAAACAAGAAAGAAAATTATTATTAAGAAAAATGCACCAAGTTTTTCCAATATATATTTGTACTTTTGTTGGCCTGGATGGAAGCGTACAGGGAGTCTTAATGTGTGAGGAAACCGGAGTATCCAGAGAAAACTAATATGGCCAGGTTACCAAATGCCTTTTCACGTCCAATTGGTGAATCAAACTCTGGCCATCTTGGTGACAAAGTAGTGCTGTCCACTTGGCAACCTGCCCACACTTTGATTAATAAAACAAAGGGAAAAAATCTTATGTCATTGACATCCATCCAAACTCTCTGTACATCTTTTTATGACTTTGTAGCCATTGTGTTTATCACTTCAGCGATTCAAGAATGCATCTTTTGTACCTCCTAAATTCTTCCAAGAACCCCTTTAAGCATCAGCTACCTGGCGTCCTGATTGTTCAAACTTGTAGCATGCAGTGAAGCTCTGTTCACTTAAATAATAGATAACACACAGACAACGGTATTGGCCTAATTGGCTAACCATGACTTTGTAACTCTGTTGTCTTTATCACTTCAGCGATTCAAATGTACATCATTTTACGACTTTGTAACTATGTTGTCTTTATCACTTCAGCAATTCAAATGTACATCATTTTACGACTTTGTAACTCTGTTTTCTTTATCGTTTCAGCGATTCAAGAACACCCTGAAGTCTCCCCTACCTGACAGTGTATCACAGTCTTGTCCCTCCTACTACACCGGCGACATCATCATCTCCAACGGTAAAATCCCGGAAAAGGAGCCTCTAAACGGATCGTCCCCAGATCTAGATAGCACAACTAAAGTTTGACTCCCCGTGACGACCACAGACAGCAAGATTGAAACCCTATTTCTATTTTTATAGTATTTTTTATTAACTTTCCACATATATTGTATTTCCATTTTCACACTGGTATAGTTTAAGTTATTTTTCTGGTATAACCTTCCAATAGGAAATTCATGTTTCTTACAAAGACTATTATCATGTCATACCTGTTAATCATGTCTTTGTTTCATTAACAGTTGATTCATCAATTTAAATTTTAAAGTTTAACTGTTTAAAAATGTTTGCAGAAACATCTGTATTTTTGTATATATCATCAAACAGGGATCAGTTGGAATCCCAGGAAATATCTGTATAGGAAAAAAAATCACCAATCCTAATTTTACCTCACGTCAACACTTCATTAAGCTGAAGTAAAGCATACTGAGTACAGGGGACCCTTTTCTGGCTAAGCCATTTCAAAAATTCATCAGTCTACCAAAATGTTGGGACCATTTTTTATGGTTCTTTATTATGAAGATGTCACATTTTAGTTCGCCCAGTTTAATATTAACCATCAAAAATTCTGATGTTACCAAAATCTGTTGTACATCAAATGAAGCCTGGGGGAAGCGGTTTTGTCCAATTTGAATATTTTGACTGATTTGTGAATGAGTTTATTATGGAACAGCATATCTGCAAAATCTAGATCTGTTGTGTCAGAGGTGTTTTTTACACCACACATGAACACAATACTGATTTCTGGTAATTTTTTATCCATGAATTTAATTTATATATACATACTGTCTTATAAACCAGAGGGATGGTTTCTTTGAATAACTGGATTATCAATGAAATTGGTTGACAAGCATGAGAAAATGTTTATATGATTTTATTTTGAATTAGTCTGTTGTTGTTATAGATACTACATGGTGTTCTTAACTGTGATGATGTAATTGAGGTAAAATTGAAAGACTGCATAAGTTGTCATCACAAAAAACAAGACGATAGTTTGAACTTTGAACTATGTTGACATATTTTAACTCTGAATAATATTGACACAAGTAGGGTCAACATATCTAATCATTGACACAAGTAGGGTCAACATATCTACTCATTGACACAAGTAGGGTCAACATTTCTAATCATTGACACAAGTAGGGTCAACATATCTTATCATTGACACAATTAGGGTAAACATATCTAACCATTGACACAGATAGGGTCAACATATCTAATCATTGACACAAGTAGGGTCAACATATCTAAACATTGACATAAATAGGGTCAACATATCTAATCATTGACACAAGTAGTGTCAACATATCTAATTATATTGACATAAATAGGGTCAACATATCTTATCATTGACCCAATTAGGGTAAACATATCTAACCATTGACACAAATAGGGTAAACATATCTAATCATTGACACAAGTAGGGTCAACATATCTTATCATTGACACAAGTAGGGTCAACATATCTAATCATTGACACAGGTAGGGTCAACATATCTAATCATTGACACAAATAGGGTCAACATTTCTAATCATTGACACAAGTAGGGCCAACATATCTAATCATTGACACAAGTAGGGTCAACATATCTAATTATATTGACATAAATAGGGTCAACATATCTTATCATTGACACAATTAGGGTAAACATATCTAACCATTGACACAAATAGGGTCAACATATCTAATCATTGACACAAGTAGGGTCAACATATCTAATCATTGACACAAATAGGGTCGACATATCTAATCATTGACACAAGTAGGGTCGACATAGACACAAGTCGGGTAACTTAACATTTAGATGTGCGTTATCACAATGAGGGTCAGCGTTCACCTGTGAATGATGTTGACATATTGGAGTGTACATTTGTATCCAAGATTTGTTGACACAGTTTGGGTTTGCATTTATATCTGAATTCTGTGAACTAAGCAGAGTTTGGCATTTTTTTCTGATATGTGTTCAACAAACCTAACATTTAGAGTGTTTTGACGTAATTACGGTAAATTTACAGTCCGAGTTATATTTTGAAACAAAGAAAGTATTGAAAGTTGACCTTGTTGTCAGACTAGTGAACTAGCACTACTAGTATCGTATCATAAAAGGAATGCTTTGAGCAAAATATACCAATGAATGGTAGGAAAATGTGGAGCTACTGCCTGAGGTTTATTTCTATGGTTAAGTGTACCAATTAATTTCTTTGAATGACTGAGTGTCACATATATTATTATGATACAGGTGTCCTATGTACTTTGATCTCAGATTTATATATCGGTAATTGTTAGAACGTAGACATTTTTGTAGAATTTGTACTGTTTTATACTTGGAGGATTTGAATATTTCGCAATTAAAAAGTTCACAAGAGTACAGGAGTCTGTATCATTTAATCTGGAATTTCGTAGAACCTCCCCTCTTCCCCGCCATACATAGTGTTTTCAGACATCCATGCCTATAATGTTCCACATTAGATATAGGATGTTGATACGCCATTCCTTTTTTATATGGGTCGATAGTGCATCATTTAAATAGATTTTATCTGTGGTGTATCTCTTGGGAGACTAGTGTATGATGAAATGTTTCTGGTGTAGTATATACATGACAATAAATCATATTTTTGACATGAAGATACATCTCATTACTTTGACAAGTTTGCGGGTCAAATCATCATCAACATATGTTAGTACATTTATGGGTCTACATTGAGCAGCCCCAATATTTTTTACATTTTTTTTGGAAAAATAGGTCATCAGGATGCTTTGAAAACCAATCTGAATGCAAATATTTCCCGTACAAATTCACATATTAACATATACATACACAAGCTCCTTTAAATGGTTGTTGCAGTTAATATATGTAGATATCAAGCATAGACTAGAGAGATAACTGGTGGTTGATTTTGTTGTATTTGTTTATAATATACACTTATTGAATAACAGAAAATTATTAAACAAATATGGTAAGTATCATAGGATTTTTTTTTCTGTAATATTACAAAAAAAATACATTATTGCTGGTCTTTTTGTGATCTTAACTCATGTTATCTACCTACACAGGTTGTCGTGTGTTTTATTTAGATGTGATTCAATTTTATCTGCTGACAAAATATGTAAAGACGATATCATAAAGCAGGATGTAAAAATGGAAGTTAATCTTAAAAGCACTAACAAGTCTCCTTATGTAAAGGGTATTTGATATGTTAAAATAAATCATGGTTATACATGTAACAGGAACACATGCTTTACTTTTATAAATACCTGAATGATGTGTTACAGTGTAGCAAAACCATTTATCCTATGAATTCAGTGCATGGAGACAAATCATATACTAAATTATTTGAAATTATTGAAGCAAACTCTTGAAAATAATATATTTTGATAATGTTCAGGGTTGAAATTTATTTAAAATCAGTTCAGTTACACAAAATGAAATTAGCGTTACAACAATCATGTGATAGCCGGAAAAAAATTTGTGGAGCTAAAATTAGAAAATAAAATAAAAATGGTTCTATGCTAATAGAGAACAAATATAATAAACCCCTGTGTTAACTATTTGCAAAGAATCATTCCCAATGGGACCCAGTATGCCTAGTGTATTGTAGATTTGATGCATTGTGATCAATTATTGTAGGCAGTAGATAGGCTTTAGGTGGCAGCATTAATGAAGAGGGATTAAACAGAAAATGGTGAACTGTATATGTGATTTTCTTTTTATTTTCTAATATGTTGTCTTTGTGTGAGATTTGGAATATCTAAACTCATTCACCCCTCAAGATTCATTTGAACTCTTCCAATTCAAAGCTTGGAATAGTTCATTATGAAGTTTCAGGGGTGAATGACTTACATTCAGTTTACTACATATAGGTAGTATAATTTATATAGAATTATTTAGGATTTTTTCATAGCTGCATTGAATCACTTGTACATGTAGTTGAGACTACTTTGCTGAAATTATTTGTGATCATTTCAATTTCCAGAGGAAATAATAATATAATTGCTATGTGATTGAATGTGTCTGCATTTGTGATTGATCATTTACAGGAAAACATCAGTGATGTAAGATTTGCATTGAAATATTGGTTTGGTGCTCATTTATTTAAATATAAATGATGGTCAACTATTTCATATCATGTTAGGGATCTGTTGATTTAGGTGTGAATCCTGATTTTTTAAATTACAATTTAAATTTAATAACCGGTTTTCTTTTGTAGCAGATTTTCAAAACATTGAAATTCATTCCAAAAAATATGCCAAATTCCCTGACTGAGAACTGTCAATTTAAAAAATTGAATTGAATTTAAAACATTGAAATGAGGTAAAATAAATGTAGGTAAATATTCATTTATGTAGTACAATATTCAGTGACTACAATAACCAAGATTGTCCAAGCTATTTTACATACCTATATGTTTGAAGTTAAGACAGCTATTTTTATAAAATGGTTGTATATAATCTATATTGTGATATTTTTTCCATATTTATCATGTAAATTGTTCTCTATAATTCTTCAACACAGTTATTGTTTGGTGAAATATTGTATAATGATCATTATCAGAGTATTGCCTATGGTTTTACAATTATATGTATAAAAAACTCCTGTCATCCTAAAGGTATTACCGCTGATTAAGCATTGCTGTCATTCTTTTGCTGCTGTATGTGCTGAAAATTATGAAATTACGAAAGAACATAAAGATATACCCTAAAATCTTGAAAATATGCTGTGGAATATTTTTATCTTTAATAATGAACTAAAGGCTTATTTTTGAAGCTGGAGTATTTCCAAGGCCATCTTATTTTGAAAGCATTAGACTGTAAGGTCAGTATGGCTTATTTCCAGAAAAAACTGACTTTTGAGGCTTTTTATAGTTCAATTATTGCAAAAAAATATCCCAAAATATTTAAAATAAAATTTTGAGAAATTTGCAGTTTTCTGGTACTGAATTAAAGTTTTGAGATTTTAGCGTGTGAAGTAATGTCATCACATTTTCATACTGTGATAAATTCATCCTGATTGACCGTTAGGGCCATGTGGGTACTTTTGTGCGATGTAGGACAGGTGTTCTTTAAACTGCGAGGGTTTCAGGATAACGTATACAGTACATGCTTAACATAGCCATAACTTATTTTTGGGTTTATCAGGGTCTCGGTACAAAACTCATTTTTATTTGTTTATTTTATCTGGCACTTATCTTTTCAATTGTCCTTCACTGGTGGTATCAGTGGACGTTCTTTGATATTATAGGGACGTAGAAAATCATCAGCGGTAGCCCATCTTTATAGGAGGAGCACCTGCTATCTTTATGGTAAACAGATAGGGTGACAGGAAAACAACATTCAATTGAACTTTGTTGTCAATCTACAATTATAATAAATGAAATTTGAAGTTATCAAGTATGCTTGTTCTTGAATTCACTGTATATTGTATTTTGCTGTTATGATGTTTTTAAGGCTGAAATGCATCTGATTTGTTCCGATCACTTTTTTGTATGGAACATGAACATTTGTAGTGGGTACGAACAGAAGAGATTGTCTACTGAAGACGTGGTTGAAGAATATTACTTGGTATGTACCTGGTGTATATGTAAAACTTGTTTATATGATGTCAAATGATACATTGCTTTAATTTCTACAAAAAACAAAGATTCATTGTGTACGGTTACGACCTTGAAATTAAAAAAAGAAATGTTTGCAAAAATTATTCTGTGAGGTAAAGGATTCCCTGTAGAATACATTAGCTGCCATTTGAAATATTTATTCATAAGGAAGTATCAAACATCTTTTGATGATACCTGGTACCTTCCCGATGAAGATAATTTAATGAGGTAAAAATAAACGTTTACTGTATGACCTTGTGATTTTGTGTTGTTTATCTTTACAAATCAGTAGATATTTGATAGTGACTATATTGACCATCTGTATGATAATGAGACGTTCTTTATTTTTAGCCTATCAGATGGTGGGGTGACCTCATTGTCTGTGATACGATGTCCATCCATTCTTAAACAATTCCTGTAATCACAATTTCTCCTAATTACTGAATGGATTGCAAATGCAGGCTCACATTGCTCTCTAGTTGTGCATCAGCCATGCTTAATTTTAGAACCGTACTTGACAGATCTTAGTTAAATTTCATGAATTATGTAGATTCCCATTTTCCATTTATATTTCTTGTGTATGTTTGATTTTGGGACTGATCGGAATAACATAGACGGCAGACAGCCATCTTGGATTTTGTAAGGTGAGCTTATGCCGTACTGCGGCGTCCGTCGTCCGCTGCCGTCCGTCAACTTTTTCTTTTGAACGACTTCTTCTGAAGAACTGTAGGACCTAGGGTCATGATATTTGGTCAGTAGGTACCTGGGATGGAGTGCTATAAAGTTTCCTCAAAAATGACCTTGACGTACTTTCAAGGTCACAGAGTTTAAATATGTTAAACATTTCAAACAACAATATCCTAAGAACCATTTGAACTAGAGTCATGATACTTGGGTATTTTATGTAGACCAGCAGTACGAATATTTTTTCAGTTACAGTTATGAGGTCAAAGGTCAACTTTAAGTGCTAGTTTGGAGTCAAATGTCAACTTTGGTTAAAAGCTTTAACAGTCTTCTTCTCAAGTTCCATAAGGCCCAGGGTCATGATATTTGGCCAGTAAGTACCTGGGATGTGGTGCTATAAAATATACAATATACTTATACAATATCCTAAGAACCATTTGAACTAGTCATGATACTTAGGTTTGTTATGTAGACCAGCTGTGTGAATTGTTTTCATCATTACAGTAATGAGGTCACAGGTCAACTTTAAGTGCAAATCGGGATTCAAATGTCAACTTTGGTTAAAAGCTTTAAAATTAAAATTTTAAGTTTCAAGCAACAATATCTTCAGAACTGTTTAAGAGATGTTAAAATGTCTTGTGTTCTAGTTACCAAATGGTCTTAAGTTACCTATATGTCAGTTGCATTTACAAAAGGAACAGGTGAGTGATACAGGCACTCTGGGCCACTTGTTATTGGTATTTCTCGAGAAGTACTGGACAAATCTTTCTCAAATTTGATATGTAGGATCCTAATGGTCCATAGTTGTGCATGTGTCATTTTGTGTCTGATTAGAGACTGCTATTTCTCGAGAAATAAACAATGACTTCATTTTGAAAGAAAACTCATCTGAATGAAATTTTAATTAAAAGTTACCTCAAGATGCATTATTGTTGACAACTTCAAAAGGCAGCAAATCCAACAGATAAGAGAAGAGAAATGAAAGAAAGCGATCAAACTTACAAAGAACTTATGAAAATCTTACGATGGTGGGTGCATGCGCATGGTCATTGGCTGAATACGCCCCTGCCTCCACGTTACATTTGTAGGCAGCGTAATGACCCTGGTGTACCTTTCATGTCCAGTTCCCGATTGACCGGTACATTGGTACATAGGAAAGACCCATGGGATTTCTACAGGGGAAGTTTTGGGACGAGACCATTCAGAGGGGTGATAGCCAAGCAATACGAGGTAAAAACGCTGCCATTTCAGTGACTCGATTGGTATAAACCTGGGAAGTGCTCACTAGTTCAGCAAGGTCAAACATGGTCAGCAGCTGGAGGCTGTGCACCTGCATGCTACAAGTCGCACAAGGCTTACTGGATGGCATTTTCAATACTGAGGAGGCTTTTGGAAAAGCGTTTTACATGTACAGGTTTATTATCCAAATTGATACATGGTTATTTGAAAATTGCTTTTATGGTAAAGTTATTAATGACTTATGGACCCTGTACTAACTTGTTGACAAAAAGTAAATTTATTAGCTGTGATCTTTATGCGCAGTTTCCCTGTTTCTTCCATACAGTGTTTACTTTTTAGCTTGACTGCTCAAATCACTTTTTGTATGGTCCAGTGTACATTGGAAAATCCCACAAGAACCAAGCCCCTCAAATATCCCCCTGCTACTTCTACATGTACTACTTGTTCAAGAGAATAGAACCTACAAATCAAATACATTCCATGGTTTGATGGTGGGTGCAATGATCCTTCTTGGTTCTTATTTCTTGCAAATAAAAAATTGGGCCAACGGCCATCATAGATTTGGCATGTAGTACTCTGGCATGCAACAGACTAAATCCTGTGCCCCTCCTAGGGAGATATCAAGTTTGTTCAATGAATGTATGACCTCAATCAGCTTTCAATGTTAAAACATCTACTTAACTTCTCGATATACAATAGGCCTAGGGTCATGACGGTGTTTGTGATTAGCATGTTGGGATGAAGGATTATCATGTTAAAATGAATGACCTCGACTCATTGTCAAAGGGGTCAAATATGCAAGTTTTTTAGACCGATTCTAAATAACCAAGAGGCTCAGAGGAAGGATATTTTTTATTGCAGCATGCTGGGGTGGAGGGCTATAAAGTGTCTTCATATGAGTGGCCTTGACTTACTTTCAGGGCCACAGGAATCAAATCAACTTTGTACAAATCTTCAAGTGATTTGTTTGCATTTCTTGACATCTTGTTGGAATTGGCAGGGTTCAAATATATGACCTTGACATATATTTTCTTTGGCACATAGATCAATTGTTTTATAATCTTGAAAAGACGGCAAAATGTGCCTGTAGCTATTAGCTTACACACAAGCTTGTTCAAAAGTACTGAAGTGCCAAGAGTAAAATATGTGAAAAATCAAACAGCAAAGTTGCCAAGTTATTTAACTGGTAATTTAATTGTTTGCTTTAAATATCCCTTCAATAGCTAAGGGTAATTTAAGGACAAGCCTCCTTGTGTGTACTGTATTACGTCTTTGCGTATTGCAGAGTTATCTTCTCTAGGGAACAGGTATTGATTGTTACGTCATTGGTTTGTGCGATAAAATTACGTCGTTTTCTCAAAAATTGATGACGTTACTCTCACAAACAAGTGATGTAACAATCAATACCTGCTCCCAAGAGAAGATAACTCTGCAATACGCAAAGACGGAATACGTGTGTGTGGATATATACTGAAGGCAGGTACACTGTATGTTGGCGTCGCCTTGCGATAGCACGGACCAGATGCCAATTGCGTAGTGCTACCGCCCTGAAATACCAGGATGATACATCCAGCACAGTATTCCACCTGGTGATACAGCACATGGACAACGAGTAAACCAGGGCCCATATCAATGAAACCAATATCATGCTCAAGTATGGATTCTGTGCTCAAACCCACTTCCTTGCCACTTGCTTAATCATGCAACACAGTCAAATCTTTGTCAAGTATAGTGATATTGAAATGTATTTAGCTTTAAGTGCCTCAAATTCTTCCAAATTATTGACTTAATGTGATGTTTAATTCCTCAATGGAACGTGGAATGTGGCTTGAGCAGATTCTAACTTAGAGCACGAGAACGTTCATTTTCAAGAACTTTATGTCCTGGTCTTGGGACAGAACACATTGCCTGTCCCCCTTGAGCGAACATTCAACACTAAGGCCACATCCGTTCATCGCGAGCTGTTTATTTATGAAATAAGATCAGACCTAGTAATCTGATGCTTCTCTTGACAAAGCCTTGCAAGGCCTGCATAAACATTTGCAGATTCGCCATGAATTATACCCGAAACTGTTACATTTAAAACCAGACAAACGGTTGAAGCGGATATGTGAAAGGGGCCTATGAAACAAAAAGTTTGTTAGGAAGTAGAGAGAAAATATAAAGATCCCAAGTGTTGTAACTGTGGGACAGCAGATCAATTTAGGTCCCCAAAGTAAAGTAGAAAACAACTCCACAAGTCTGCCGTGGGGATAGTTATCTTGTCTGCTATCAAGTCTGCCGTGGGGATAGTGATCTTGTCTGCTATCAAGTCTGCCGTGGGGATAGTTATCTTGTCTGCGATCAGTCTGCCGTGGGGATAGTTAAATAGAATTGACCTTCACCTACTTGAAGGTCAGAGATATTGGCCTGTTAGTCTTTGTTTATTAGTTTACAATGGATGCTGGTTTTTAAGGATCCGTCTCATAGCGATTTACTCCGCTTCAGATTCCAGATTCCGTCTCATAGCGATTTACTCGGCTCCTGATTCCAGAATCTGTCTCGTAGCGATTTACTCAGCTCCTGATTCCAGAATCTGTCTCATAACGATTTTCTCAGCTCCTGATTCCAGAATCTGTCTCATAGCGATTTACTCAGCTCCTGATTCCAGATTCGGTCTCATAGCGATTTACTCGGCTTCAGATTCGGTCTCATAGCGATTTACTCAGCTCCTTTATTCCAGAATCTGTCTCATAGCGATTTACTCAGCTCCTGATTCCAGAATCTGTCTCATAGCGATTTACTCAGCTCCTGATTCCAGAATCTGTCTCATAGCGATTTAATCAGCTCCTGATTCCAGAATCTGTCTCGTAACGATTTTCTCAGCTCCTGATTCCAGAATCTGTCTCATAGCGATTTACTCAGCTCCTGATTCCAGATTCGGTCTCATAGCGATTTACTCAGCTCCCGATTCCAGATTCCATCTCTTAGCGATTTACTCAGCTCCTGATTCCAGATTCCATCTCATAGCGATTTACTCAGCTCCTGATTCCAGATTCCGTCTCATAGCGATTTACTCAGCTACTGATTCCAGATTCCATCTCATAGCGATTTACTCTGCTCCTGATTCCAGATTCCGTCTCATAGCAATTTACTCAGCTCCTGATTCCAGAATCTGTCTCATAGCGATTTACTCAGCTCCTGATTCCAGATTCGGTCTCATAGCGATTTACTCAGCTCCCGATTCCATCTCATAGTGATTTACTCAGCTCCTGATTCCAGATTCCATCTCATAGTGATTTACTGAGCTTCAGATTCCGTCTCATAGCGATTTACTTGGCTCCTGATTCCAGATACTGCAACTCTTATTGATTATATTTTATTTAACAAAAACAACATCAACATGTTTTTTTGCATTGCATTAAATGTCGATGCAGATTTATTTTTCATGCTGCCTTTTGAATGAACATTGTACATCTGACTAATCTACACAAACTAATGTCCTGTACCTGTGAACACATGCTGACCACGGATCCTACCTAACAGTGGTTGTCACTATACCATATACTTTTATAATGGTCAATTATGCGACAGAAATTTGGAGCTCACATTAATCTAAAAATCATTATTTATGTCTGGGTCTGAACTTACTGATTAGAGACCTATATATATCATTACTTTTACATTGTAAAATACTGCTTGTTTTTTAAAAACACTTACAGATAGGATCCATGGCAGGTTACATAACTTTGTACACAATGAAACACGAGTTTAATTATCTCCCTTTATCTATTCAATAGGGCACAAACAAATGTAACCACAATTTCATGGCGAAATGCTTATATAATGGCATAACCATCCTTAAATTTCACTTTAATATCACCTCAGATGAATGGAACAAGAAAATTTTCAGTATTAATATGCTGGATAAAGTATCAAGTAAAATAGTAATTTCCACAAATATTTGGGAGATAACATGCTTATGTCTCAAATTAATATCACAGGTAAACATGAACATGATTATCATCAAAAGCTGCCTTGTGGGTAAAATGTGTTAACAAAATATATATATATATCTTCTGGTCTCGTAATGTTAGACATTGTCCTCATATTCATCCCACTCATTATTCATGCATAAACTAGTAATCAAATTACTTGGACTTGAGAACATATGCTACCTTACATTATAACTGTGATCTGTGTGAAGTTGTAACCTTTTAATTGGTATCATTAGTCACCTATGTCTGCATTCCTGTGTACTGTTATCAAATAAGTAAAATCTAACTACACTTTATAAAACATTCCGTCTTTCAACTCTTTTGAATTGGAGATTCAGGTTACAGTACAAGTAGCATATATTCTTAACCAAACTGTACATAATCAAAGTCTAACGCCTCCATTCTCAACATAAACATAGCCTTGTGCCTCCTTCCTGCACATAAACATTACGTATACCTGAAAACTTTCACCCATCTAACTTAGCACCTCACTGGTAAAATCCATATTTTCTCAGCATTATTTTTTTTGCCCTTCACATGTAACGACTATATAGTGAACCAGGTGTTTTAATACCCCTCAGGATAAATTGGCCCTCATTATGGAAAGTGAAAAGGTGGAATTTAATCTGCAGTGAAAAATTCCTGGTATACAACAATAGTGTTACACCTCCGGACAACACATACATTCTGTTCTACATCATGCTTCCATGCTGGAACCTGGTTAGTCCCAAATTTTTATAGAGGCAATTTTTGTTAACCATCAGCTCCAGAATAAAAACATACTTCAGTTTCTAGAGACAACTTAGGATTGTTCTTTACAAATTTCAAAATTAATGCCAAAACTGTCAGTATGCACTTTAACGACAGAACTTTATAGAAGCCCAATTTGTAGTCTACACTCAAAATTTCTAGATCAAATTATTTTTTCTTAAAGCCAAATCAACAAACTGCTATTATCTGTTTGGCATTTTCTGCATTTGCATTTTCAATTAATTTGACACATCTTTCATCTGTATATTTTGGTAAAGAAATTTAATACAACTTTTCGCAAATCCATTTTCTTGAATTAATTAATTCACCCCTGAAGACACATTTTAACTCTTCCAATTCAAAGGCTGGAATAGTTCATTATGAAATTTCAGGGGTGAATGAGTTAAGGCCAAACTATTTGTGAAAATGATTAAACAAAAATACAGGTTCTTTACAACATAATTGGGACCTGCGAGACACCTCTCCTTCGCCATATTTTTGTATAGATTAAAACATCATACTTTTCAATGTAAGATTCTGTATATTAACTCATTCACCGCTGAAATTTCATAATAAACTATTCAACCTTTGAATTGGAAGAGTTCAAATGTGTCTTCAGGGGGTGAATGAGTTAAAGGCAAGTTATTTTCATGTTTACAAGATATCAGCAGAAACCAACAAATAAAAGAAAATTGAAAATGAAAACAAACTTTAATTAACAGGAAAAATGTTTGCATAATTGTTTGTCAAACAACGCATGATATGATGATATGAACTGCGTATGTAATTCACAATATTGCACAGATTTCAAACATTTATTTATAATTGACACTCCTCCACACAAATCTTTTGTCTTTCAGTATATAACAATCTATCAATTAGTCACAATACTGTCCTCACAAAAAATATATTATGTACCATCAGGAAATTAATTTGCATAGCCAATAATGTTCACCTCAGCAACTTGATTTCTCCACCTGCTTCTGTTATTTCAACATGGTAACCGAGTATAATCATATAACATTTTCAAACAGCTTTTGACAAACTATCAGGTAAAGCCACTGATATTCCGTCTTTGCGTATTGCAGAGTTATCTTCTCTTGGGAGCAGGTATTGATGGTTACATCATTGGTTTGTGTGAAAAAATAACGTCGTTTTCTCAAACATTGATGACATTACTCTAACAAATAAGTGACATAACAATCAATACCTGCTCCCAAGAGAAGATAACTCTGCAATACGCAAAGACGGAATAGCCTGAACCTAAACCTGAGCAATAAAAATCAATGTCTAGGCAAAATACTTTATACTTTGTGAAGTTGAGGTGATCGCTGTGATGAATACATTACTGACAATGATGGTGAACCTGACTAGCTCCTATGATATATAAACAACTCTGACTCCTACACCGCGGATCTCCTACTCTACCACCACCATCACCACACACCAGAGCGCTGTCCAGGATTAAAGCTAATATCATTCATAAAACGTTTCTGAAGAAAGATAAAAAAAATCAACATGAGATTCATTTTATAGCGATTTCCTTGTTTCTGAACCTGTATGTAAAATTAATCATTTTGAAGAATTAAATACTGCTTTTAATGATCTAAACAACACAACCAAACTAGGAACAGTTGCTTCAACTATCTTTTTAAGGTGAATGCAAGCAAAGTTATCCAACTTCCATGCATTTTGTCTTGAAATGTTCATTTAAAAAATTCACCTTTTGTTTTCATTTTAAAATCAAGAGAGAAAAAATAATAATGATTTTGAAGGCAAGACTTCTTAAACTTAATTGTGTCCTTGTCATTAAGTATTACAACTAATTTGTTCAGCATTTTTTAAACGATCAGCCCCCCTCCCCCTTCACCCTATATTTTTCAGACATTAAATCCACATGTGTGTTGAGAAAACTTGCATTTTCTTTTAAGTCTTTAATTTCACAGATGGCACTGCTGTATTACACATAACCAAAACATAAAATCAGACATTTCACAAAAATGGTTTGAGGTAACAACACTGATATAGCAGTCATTTATAGCACTTATCACATTTCACAAAAATGTTGAAAAAGTTATTTGTGATAACAAGAAAATGTTATGAAAAATAAATAGATGTAGATTTCTTTTGTGATGAAATGTGAGAATCTGGTCCCATGGCTAATGAGTGATGTCCCTCCCTTCCTTCCTAAATGAGTCAGGAATGAAGAGCCGTGACGGATGAGATGAAGGTCAAAGGTTGTGTTTGGGTCATCAAAGGTCATGGTCTGCCACACTTTGCTTGAGGTATTCAGAATAAAGGTTTTGCTGAAAAGAAAGAAAGGAAACATTTGTATGCATTGAACACTATAATGGACTACAGTAATATTGTTATCATATTCTCATCTGTATGTGTCATTTAATGTATCATGTCCATTGTAAATTGTATTACAGGGCCATATTGTAAATAACATATAAATCTAAATATGTAACCCTTCTAAATAGAAGATTTTATTATTATTATAGTAATTTTACAATCCAGATATGACACTTGTCCCTCTACATGAAACTGTACAGGAGCATTTTTGACCTCTATAAACCAATCAGTACAAAAACAGTACAAAAAAATACAACATTTTCCAGACTTTGAATTACTAAGATGAAGCATAACTCACCTTCTTGGCCTTTACTGTAGTAAGCACATGATCCTTAATTTCTCCAAGAGATCGCTTCTGTTTCCGAGATAATGTTGTTTTCGTCCGGGAGGCAAACTTAGCAACGAGCAGCATCAAGAGGGCAATACCAAGGATTCCAAACAAGACGTAGGACGTGTATTCCTTAGGTATACCCTCCCAAACCGATACCAGGATACCCTGTGAAGGTAAAATACAATTATAGTATTCCTTAGGTATACCCTCCCAAACCGATACCAGGATACCCTGTGTCGGTAAAATACAATTATAGTATTCCTTAGGTATACCCTCCCAAACCGATACCAGGATACCCTGTGTCGGTAAAATACAATTATAGTATTCCTTAGGTATACCCTCCCAAACCGATACCAGGATACCCTGTGTCGGTAAAATACAATTATAGTATTCCTTAGGTATACCCTCCCAAACCGATACCAGGATACCCTGTGTCGGTAAAATACAATTATAGTATTCCTTAGGTATACCCTCCCAAACCGATACCAGGATACCCTGTGTCGGTAAAATACAATTATAGTATTCCTTAGGTATACCCTCCCAAACCGATACCAGGATACCCTGTGTCGGTAAAATACAATTATAGTATTCCTTAGGTATACCCTCCCAAACCGATACCAGGATACCCTGTGTCGGTAAAATACAATTATAGTATTACTTAGGTATACCCTCCCAAACCGATACCAGGATACCCTGTGAAGGTAAAATACAATTATAGTATTCCTTAGGTATACCCTCCCAAACCGATACCAGGATACCCTGTGTCGGTAAAATACAATTATAGTATTACTTAGGTATACCCTCCCAAACCGATACCAGGATACCCTGTGAAGGTAAAATACAATTATAGTATTACTTAGGTATACCCTCCCAAACCGATACCAGGATACCCTGTGTCGGTAAAATACAATTCTAGTATTCCTTAGGTATACCCTCCCAAACCAATACCAGGATACCCTGTGAAGGTAAAATACAATTATAGTATTACTACAGGATAGGTAAAATATGATCAGAAATATATATCAGGAAATTGACAAAGACTTGAAACTGCAACAAAAATAATAATTTGTGTATACTCTAGTTATTGTTTGCCAAAATAAACAAAAACAAAATTCTTGACCCTTTTTAGAAATTACTAAAAAATAAAAAGAATTTAACTAACATCAAGATATATCTGCCAAGTATGTGAATAACAGAACATGTAATACATTTACAGTCTTTCAACAAAATCTGTCTCTCTTTTTAGTCTCTTAAAATCACATACCAAGTAGCCGTAGATGGTGATATAGAGATTGTTGCCCAGCATCTTTTTGACGAAGTCTCGTCTGGTACTGAACATGAAGGTTGTCAGCAGTAACATCGGTAAGATAAGTCCGCAGAAACCACAGGCAGCTCCCCGGAACCTCGCTCTCAGGTTGTTAGATGCCTTCACGCTATAAAAGTCATAAACAGACTGTCGTTACACCAGTGTCATTTATCTTTGTATAATTCATAGTCAAAATTGGAAGATAAATAAAAGTGTTTAAAATATTCAAGAAACCATCCATTAGAATTGAAAGTGTGTGGAGAATTGATCTTAAATGTCAGCTGTTAACATATAACACAACAGAGAAGAAAAGCATTGCACGTTTTGATAGGTTCATGTTCATGCTATATTAAGTAAAAATCTTTTAAAATGCTATTCATTTTGATTTCATTTCACATACACATAAGTTTGACAGTACATCTAAAACAAGATTAGAGTGTTACCTGTCCTCCTGAAGCTTCGTGGTGACCATATCTGCGATTTGGTGACAGTCGCGCTCCAGACTGTTGAGCGTGTTCTGTATCGTCTGATTGATGGTCTTCTCGATGTCCTTGCACACCTCCTCTATCTGGTTAGCACAGCGGCTTCCCTACAAAAGTCAAATAAACTTTACAGACGCTGTTCAATTGCTAAAGACACTTGAAAAAACTAGAACTGTAGGCCAAAGGCTAACTAATAACCCCCGCTCCTATATAAACCAGAACTGTAAGCTAAAGGTATGTCGAAACATACGTTCAAACCAAATGTTGAAAGCCAAGATGAACAAGTTTTTCTGAAATCATTCTAGTAGTTAAGGAAGAGATGTCAGGACAAAGATTATTAACAAAGGGCCATAATTCCTTAACAAGAGTATCGCGGGGCGGAACAATATACGCCCAAAGAGTGCCATAAAGTGTTATATACTTTCTTACATTGAAATAAGATCTGCATCATTCAATGACTGGTTAGCTGACATGCTATAAAAATGTAGGAGAAAATCTCCAGATAAAAAATCAAATACTGAAATGAACAAAGGGCAATAACTTTTGCAAAAATTGTTGAATCAGAATTCTTTTCAAGGAACACAACAACATATCATGATTATTTAGCCTACTAAGTTTCAAAGAGATCCGTTGAAAAATGTAGGAGGAGATTGCCGGACAAAAATCAAATACTGAAATGAACAAAGGGCATTAACTTTTGGAAAAATTGTCTAATCAAAATTCTTTTTAGGGGGGCCCAACTTCATATCATGATTATAATGTATACCAAGTTTCAAAGAGATCAGTCGGACAAACAAAAGTTTACGCCGGACGGACGGACGGACGGACGGACAACGCCATACCATAATACTCCTGTCAAATTTGACGGGCGTGTATAAAAAGGTTTAAAATGAAAAAATCCTTCCCTGATGCATGACATCAGGTTTTTTTTACCATATCTGTAAACGTTCAATGAAATTGGCCCAGTAGATTATGAGAAGTTGTCAGGACAAGGATTTTTCAACAAAGGGACATAACTCCATAAAAAAGGATTGGAAAAAATACCTGGATGCACAACTTTAGGTGGTAGTTATCATATCTGAAAAGTTCCATTGAAATTAGGAGCATAATGTTGGAGGAGTTGTGTGGAGAAGTATTTTTCAAAAAGGGCCATAACTTCAGGTGGAAGTTATCATATTTGGAAAGTTTCGTTGAAATCGATCTATAAATTTAGAAGGAGTTGTCCGGACAAAAAGTTTCAGGATTTTTTCAAAGGGCCATAACTTCGTAAAAAGGGTCAGAAAGAAAAAATTATACCTGGATGCACAACTTCAGGTGGTAGTTATCATATCTGGAGTTGTCCGGGCAACACTTTTTCTACAGACAGACAGACAAGCTGATTCCAGTATACCCCCCCCCCCCCCCCCCCCCCCCCCCCACAACGGAGTATAAAAAGAAGCAATTCAATATTTAACCTTTGTAATCTTGATCTGGTTGGTATAACTTCTCATGGAAAAGTGAAATAATTAAACACTTTTATTCCCTCTTTTGTTGGAAGAGTGAAACAATTAAAATTCAATATCCTTTTTTTGATTGGCTGAAAAACAATGATACCTTTCATCTATTTTTTGTAAGGTCAAAATAAATTTTCTGTCCCAGCTACTATCAGAAGCCTAACAATACATTTCTACAGTCAACATTTCAGCTTGAAGATAAAGGTTATCTCCCTTCAGCTGTAGCTAACAGCCGCACCAGACAATGTAATTATCATAAAATGTCAATTATCTTGTCTGCCAGTCACATTTAATGCTGACTTGCATCCTATGCTTTGCAAACATCCTTTTAACCTTCAAATAAGGACCATAGGAACAATCTACAGTTGTAGAATTTCTACTTTGCTTTCTAATCAATTTTTGTTTCTCTCTAGATAAATGAGCAGAACTGACCCTTCAGATTTTCTTGTTTTTCAAAAGAAGGCAGTGCAAGATTTTTCTTTTTGCTAAAAGTAAATCCAGCAGAAATTTCAATTGTGATTTTAGAATTTACATGTCACTCCGTAACAACACTTACTGTAAACGAAATTTTCAAACTGAGCAGTGTAACATTACGTTATTGTTTTCTAAATATTGTCCACTTTGACAACCTTTACTTGATCACACTGTATCAGTTTCTATGCTGATGAGGTCAATATTTGGTTTCCTAGACTGTATCTGACTTTCTTTTACTTGATCACACTGTATCAGTTTCTATGTTGATGAAGTCAATATGTGTTTTCCTAGTCTGTATATGACTTTCTTTTACTTGATCACACTGTATCAGTTTTTATGCTGATGAAGTCAATATGTGGTTTCCTAGTTTGTATCTGACTATCTTTTACTTGATCACACTGTCTCAGTTTCTATGCTGATGAAGTCAATATGTGTTTTCCTCGTCTGTATCTGACTTTCTTTTACTTGATCACACTGTATAAGTTTTTATGCTGATGAAGTCAATATGTGGTTTCCTAGTTTGTATCTGACTATCTTTTACTTGATCACACTGTATCAGTTTCCATTCTGATGAAGTCAATATGTGTTTTCCTAGTCTGTTTCCGACTATCTTTTACTTGATCACACTGTATCAGTTTCCATTCTGATGAAGTCAATATGTGTTTTCCTAGTCTGTTTCCGACTATCTTTTACTTGATCACACTGTATCAGTTTCTATGCTGATAAGTCAATATGTGGTTTCCTAGTCTGTATCTGACTTTCTTTTACTTTATCACACTGTATCAGTTTCTATGCTGATGAAGTCAGTATGTGTTTTCCTAGTCTGTATCCGACTATCTTTTAATTGATCACACTGTATCAGTTTCCATGCTGATGAAGTCAATATCTGTTTTCCTAGTCTGTATCTGACTTTCTTTTACGTGATCACACTGTATCAGTTTTTATGCTGATGAAGTCAATATGTGGTTTCCTAGTCTGTATCTGACTTTCTTTTACTTTATCACACTGTATCAGTTTCTATGCTGATGAAGTCAATATGTGTTTTCCTAGTCTGTATCCGACTATCTTTTACTTGATCACACTGTATCAGTTTCCATGCTGATGAAGTCAATATGTGTTTTCCTAGTCTGTATCTGACTTTCTTTTACTTAATCACACTGTATCAGTTTTTATGCTGATGAAGTCAATATGTGGTTTCCTAGTTTGTATCTGACTATCTTTTACTTGATCACACTGTATCAGTTTCTATGCTGAGGAAGTCAATATGTGTTTTCCTAGTCTGTATCGGACTATCTTTTACTTGAACACACTGTATCAGTTTCTATGCTGATGAAGTCAATGTTGTTTCCTAGTCTGTATCTGACTTTCTTTTACTTAATCACACTGTATCAGTTTTTATGCTGATGAAGTCAATATGTGGTTTCCTAGTTTGTATCTGACTATCTTTTACTTGATCACACTGTATCAGTTTCCATTCTGATGAAGTCAATATGTGTTTTCCTAGTCTGTTTCCGACTATCTTTTACTTGATCACACTGTATCAGTTTCTATGCTGAGGAAGTCAATATGTGTTTTCCTAGTCTGTATCGGACTATCTTTTACTTGAACACACTGTATCAGTTTCTATGCTGATGAAGTCAATATGGGTTTTCCTAGTCTGTATCTGACTTTCTTTTACTTTATCACACTGTATCAGTTTCTATGCTGATGAAGGCAATATGGGTTTTCCTAGTCTGTATCTGACTTTCTTTTACTTTATCACACTGTATCAGTTTCTATGCTGATGAAGGCAATATGGGTTTTCCTAGTCTGTATCTGACTATCTTTTACTTTATCACACTGTATCAGTTTCTATGCTGATGAAGTCAATATGGGTTTTCCTAGTCTGTATCTGACTATCTTTTACCTGATCACACTGTATCAGTTTCTATGCTGATGAAGGCAATATGGGTTTTCCTAGTCTGTATCTGACTATCTTTTACCTGATCACACTGTATCAGTTTCTATGCTGATGAAGGCAATATGGGTTTTCCTAGTCTGTATCTGACTATCTTTTACCTGATCACACTGTATCAGTTTCTATGCTGATGAAGGCAATATGGGTTTTCCTAGTCTGTATCTGACTATCTTTTACCTGATCACACTGTATCAGTTTCTATGCTGATGAAGGCAATATGGGTTTTCCTAGTCTGTATCTGACTATCTTTTACCTGATCACACTGTATCAGTTTCTATGCTGATGAAGGCAATATGGGTTTTCCTAGTCTGTATCTGACTTTCTTTTACTTTATCACACTGTATCAGTTTCTATGCTGATGAAGGCAATATGGGTTTTCCTAGTCTGTATCTGACTATCTTTTACTTGAACACACTGTATCAGTTTCTATGCTGATGAAGTCAATATGTGGTTTCCTAGTTTGTATCTGACTATCTTTTACTTGATCACACTGTATCAGTTTCCATGCTGATGAAGTCAATATCTGTTTTCCTAGTCTGTATCTGACTTTCTTTTACTTTATCACACTGTATCAGTTTCTATGCTGATGAAGTCAATATGTGTTTTCCTCGTCTGTATCTGACTTTCTTTTACTCGATCACACTGTATCAGTTTCTATGCTGATGAAGGCAATATGGGTTTTCCTAGTCTGTATCTGACTTTCTTTTACTTGATCACACTGTATCAGTTTTTATGCTGATGAAGTCAATATGTGGTTTCCTAGTCTGTATCTGATTATCTTTTACTTGATCACACTGTATCAGTTTCCATGCTGATGAAGTCAATATCTGTTTTCCTAGTCTGTATCTGACTTTCTTTTACTTTATCACACTGTATCAGTTTCTATGCTGATGAAGGCAATATGGGTTTTCCTAGTCTGTATCTGACTATCTTTTACTTTATCACACTGTATCAGTTTCTATGCTGATGAAGTCAATATGTGGTTTCCTATTCTACAAACAACAGATGATACTTGTAAGGTTGTGTATGATGCCCAGGAGAGATGTATAACAGTACAGCACTAATGATCCATCACTATTGCTCACCTTAGAGTTCATGTTGGGTACGTAAATGGTGGGCATGTCGAACCCTGTTCTGTTGAGTCCAGGTCGCTTACACAGTTCTTGGACAATCTGCATCATCACTCTCTACAACATCAAACATCAAACAATCAATTTTGGACAACTTAAATCAGGCATGTACAAATATATATACAAGTAATACAGAAACAAATTTTCAGTCTCATTCAAACGAGACTTGGCAAACTATGACAACTTGGTTATACATGTAAACATATTAAATCAATTTATTGATTTTTTTTAGCACTTCTCATACTTTACTCACTATTTTAGATTTCGATTTTGCACCCCAGCAATGAACATTTTCAGCCAGTAAATTTACTTAGCTATTCTTATACATATATGCTAAGATCTAAAGATTTCACCAGCAGGAACAACTAAAAAGATGCCATTTTGAAGTGTTATTTTTCCCTAAGGGGGTATATAAACATTTTTTTTTAAATGTTTTGAACTTTGAGCAGGCAGAATGGAAATTTCATAAGGTTGGCAGGTTTGCAATCTATAAGACACCATGATAATTCTTTCCAATATATTAGATTCTAGTGGCAATTCTGAAAATACATGGTTTAATTGATTGAATGATGAGGGTTTTGCGTCTTCGAAACCATATGATAATCCCTGTGAGGTCAAGTCATAACAAACAAGTCACCAAAGAGTAGTAAATGAGATTACCAGATGATGTTTTAACATCTGCTTCTGATCAGAAAGGGGCAAGATGGCTCTTAATGGAGTGTACTGCTACTCAACAAACAGTCCGACCTTGACTAGGGCTGTTGTTGGTAATCAGTATAACAATGCATTACAGATTGGTATGCTGCGATGATACATATCAATACGTGGACATACTGACATGTTATTTTTCTTGCACCACGGACATAATCTGTACCAATATAGTTTCAGTTAAACAAGTTAACAAGTTACAAAACTTGTAATTTAAGAAACAATCAACAGATGTTCTTGCATTAGGATTGAGTTCATCCTACATTGTTTTCCCTCAATATTTCTAAAGGCCAGTTATATATTCCACCATGATATATATATTCATTAAATCTATTCTCAATGATACGTACAGTACTGTAGGTTGGATTAGAATTCCTTGTTTTGGTAACCATTAAAGTTCGATAGTTAATTTTCAAATTGCAAAAGACACTTGATAAACATCACGTTAACCTAAGTTAAAAAAATCATCTTTATTTTTAAGTGAGCATGCTACCGGAAACACAACTTTTTTTTTCATGGCCTAATCTTGTTTGTTTTGTAGAGAATATCACCATGCAGGAAAACTAATTAACTGCAGAGGCGTCACTTCCTGTGTTCTGTACCATATATATACACAAAGATCTTTTATCACCCACCCACCCTGTTAGCTTAGACAAGCCCAGAGCAATACATGGTATAGTTTACTTTCATTGATAAGGGTTGATAGATGGCTTTGGGTAAAAGGTGATCGTTTAATTTCCTTGTTATATTTATTATTGGACTTATTTTATTGTATGACATCATCATCATGAAAATAATATTTCAATCCTTTCTTACATCAGATGGGAATCTTTAAATTTCCTGCCCTCCCCCTTCCAATTCAAAAGTAAAAGCAACCTCACTAAAGATTGACCTTATATCTTGAAAAATATTTCTTAAGAGAAATAACGAAATTATTCAATTGTTGATGACTTCTTAAACTCAAGCTTCAACAATTATTTTTTTATTTTTTAGTCTTTTCGACTTCTTGAGCAATAATGAAAAATTTAATCAGATAACAAGAGTCTAAATTGGATTGGCCAAAAAGGAAAACTTTGTTGGGGACTTCATGAGGACTATTTGTACAAAGTTAAGAGACATTAGCCTTTGCAGTTTTTCAGAATTAGTCAGAAATGTCTCGGCCAATAAGAGGCCAAGGCAGCCATTTCGGATTATCCCAAAATTATGAAGAATTTGTCAGGACCTCCTTAGGAAAATTTGCGCTATGTCTGGAGTCAATAGCTGTGGCAGTTTCTGACAAGAATTTGAAAATGCCTCGCCTTATAAGAGCCCAGTGTTGCGATTTAAAATGTTGAATTGACAAAAACCAAGATCACAACAATTTGCTAGGATCTTGAAAGGAAGATTTCTACCAAGTTTAGAGTCAATTGCTTTTGTAGTTCTTGAGCAGAAGTAAAAAAATGTCTCAGCCAATCAGATGCCACAGCACATAGTTGATCAGGATCTGGTAAAGATCACTGTACCTAGTTCAGGTAGGAATCCTAAGGTCACTTATAAGACTAACAAGACATAAGTATTGCTTAAAGATGCTTCAGATAAAATCATGTTTTCGTGATCTCGAGTCCATATCTGCATCAGGATGATCCGCTATATTTGTCAAATTAATACAAGAGTAAAGTTCTCTTTCCTATAATTACTGAATGGTGGTGATCCATGATTGAAAACATCTCTGACAAGTAGGCCTACACAAAATCAGTGTTTTAATCGCCATGATCCATTAGTGTCTGGGTTTCTTGCGCGTTTGAGTTACCTTCATTGAGATAACTAACCATCTCAAACACCCAGATTATATTACTACAACAACGCGAGTGGTCAGTTAACTTGTTAATCTCATTAGCCTGGACAATTCCTCATGTCTGTGGGTCAGTGGAGACAGGTTTTGCCCTCAAAATTAACATGACAAAAGGAGCAATGGAAATTAAGTATGATAGTCAGAACAATGTCGAGATTTAAAATATATAAATCAGGTTTTATAATATGAAAATTTAACTTTATTTTTTAAACAAAACATGCCATCGACTCTCTTTTGTTCCTTTATAGTATTGAAGGTGCCCTGCCAATAGAGTCAAGAAAGCTCAACACATGTTAAATCTCCAGGCCTAGCCTGATCCAGCACAGTCCTACACTGGATTGGTGATACATGCATGTGTATGTGACCACAAGGTGACTAATACTCTGTATGATGCAAATTTTCAATAATTGATCAAAATCTGGTTGATAACACAACAGTTACTGCATTGCAGCCATTAATCACTGCTAGAGCTATAAGGAAACCTGTCCTCTCTCTGCCTGTTGTGTAGTCACATACATGTGAGGATTTCACAATGTAGAAAGATTTGCGTTACAAAGTAGGGAAATAAGGTTTGCAGTAGGAAGATTTCTGATGTCATCGCAGTGCAATATCATTTCACTGATACATATTAATTTTACCATATTCTTAGGTCATTTTTATGTCCCGTCTCCACAGCTTGACTCCCACATACCTGTCCTTCACCATCCTGTCTGTCCTCATTAACCTTACTCAGGTAAAACAACCTACCTGTCCTTCACCATCCTGTCCGTCCTCATTAACCTTCCTCAGGTAAAACAACCTACCTGTCCTTCACTGTCATGTCCGTCCTCATTAACCTTACTCAGGTAAAACAACCTACATGTCCTTCACTGTCATGTCTGTCCTCATTAACCTTACTCAGGTAAAACAACCTACCTATCCTTCACCGTCATGTCCGCCCTCATTAACCTTACTCGGGTAAAACAACCTACCCGTCTGTCACTCTCGTGTCCTCCCTCGTCAGCCTTACTTGGGTAAAACAACTTACCTGTCTGTCACTCTCATGTCCTGCCTCGTCAGCCTTACTCAGGTAAAACCTCATTCTATCAGCATGTTTGTGACTCAGTTCTTCCACCAAGTTCAAAGTTCGCTTGCATAAAGCTTGTCCGATGGGATCAAAGAAGACGAAGATCAGATCAGCCAAATCTCCTGTGAAGAAATGTTAAAACAGCATGAGGACATATGAAATATTTCACAATATGACAACAATATTGAAAATATCAAACTGCAATGACAAAGAAACAGGATTGACAAAAAGTAAATAGAAGCAAAATTCTATTGATTAATGTCAAGTGTTAATTTGAATACCAATTTGCAGGGAAAAAGAAAACAAAGTCAAAGATCTATCTTTCCATAAATTTAATAGTTGCTGAGTAAGATAAACCTTAATAATAAGACATTCATGGAACTGGACCAGTCATTGGTTAGGGGTCATTGATCTCACTTTAGGAACATATTTACTTTACAAATTCTCAATTACATATCTAATGGACCAAAAAAGTCCAAGTTAATATGAGAAAATCTGAGAAATGACGCTTTTGTAAAATCGTTTTTAAGGATACATATGCCACCTTGTTTCATTTTGTTTAAGGATATTTGTACCATCTTTTTGTGTTTTTAAGGATACATGCACCATCTTAATTTGATTTTAAGGAAGTTTTAAAATAGATAAAATCAGGATAGCTGATAGATAGATCTGAAAACACAATGCCCTTTGTCAAATCTGTTTTCCGGGCACACAAATTGACAAGCATGGAAAAAGTTCCCACAGGAAAACTTCAGAAGGAAAAATGTTCACTTAACACAAAGAACATAGTAATCATTTGTAAGGTAAAGAGGATGAGGAAGTTGATTGACAAGGTTATACCTACCTAGCCATAAGATAGACTGGTTGACATCAAACGGATACTTCATATCCCCGTCCACCAAGCCAGGCGTGTCCACAAACGTCACCAGACTGAACCTCTTCTGCTTGGACGTGGAAATCTCCGTGGTCAGGTAATCTGTGACCCCTGTACCAAGAAATAGGCTACAGTGCAATTTCTTCATTGAATTTGAATCTTAACTGGTGTCCAGATTTGAAAAAAAGTCCTAAACCAGTAATTTTGAAATTATATATTGTATCAAAATTTTATCAATGAATATCAAAATATTTAACACCAAGAAGTAGTTCATAAGTACATGTAGTTTCAAATGTGTCGTTCTCATGTTCCACTGATGTCCAATGTCAGTGAACCTATCATTTCTATTAAGCAGCTATTTTTAACTACTTTACTTCAGTAACACTAGTTGATTTACAAAAGGAAAAATGATATATATACCTACTTACTGTTGAACTTATTAGTCATTATTTAAAAAAAAGTTGATTTGACTCTCAAATTTCCCAGTACATTTTAATGCCAAAATAAACCTCTCACCAGTGATTTAGTGATTTACCCCCAACCATACACAAACTTTTAATTTCAGGCTTCTATTTTGCCTTCATAATGCCAACTTGCTGGGAGCACAATGTATTACAGCACTGGTTAGCTGTGACTTATGTGATAGACAATCCAAGATTAACCACCAGTAGTGTTATAGTGTCCGACCTCCACACTGCAGCCAAATGTAATATGTCAGATTATGTCTGTATGAAATTCTACGTTTCTGTATGTGAAATGTCATATGTCCTCAAGTTAAGTATAAAGTATCTCAATAATGTCTTCCTATACCACCACCCATCAGTATGTAAACAACAAAATATTAATAGATTTTTCTCCTTAAATGTCAAACCTTGTCTGGACTCTAGACTCCCACAATCTGTCTTATTACGTCTATCTGATAATTAAATTCCTGCGTCACAAACCTGACTTATCCTTCACATCCGCCTATATCCTGATCACACCTACATACAATTATATAATCCCTTATGGGAACTTTTTTCATGTTTGATTTCTCAGTTGTATCCATGATTTTATATCCACAAACAGGATGATGATTTTGACATTTGTTTGTGTATTTTTTATTTTGATCATGATGCCATTGACTATCCCAGAATATAAGTTTTTCCACAAGCCACATATAATTTCAAACGTTTTGCAAGTTTTGTATTTCAAAGATGACTTAATTAGGCCTTGCATGTAATTGACTGATTAATGTATTTAATAAATATCATACAATTCCAATCTCCACTCCCGGAGTCCATTATCCTACATATGATACTGATAAATTAAATGATTGTAGGAAAACTGGAAAAATTCCACAGACAAATCTGTTTATTACATGTACCACGGAGACACAATAAAAGTTTGATCTAGCACTTCTGTGAGGGGATCGGGAGTCCTGAAGGCCAGTAACAGGTAAACAGCTGTAGAAGTTCCGACGTTGTCTGTGTTGATACAATATGTTACCACAGCCCTTCATTTGGCAGCTCTCATTGAGTATTAGAGATAGCTGACCAAAGGAAGAACTATGGGCACACATCCAGAGGGAGAAGAGCAATGACACCACCACCAGGAAAAAACAACGGGACAAATAGCATTGACGGAAAATCTAAGATAATAGGAGGGCTTTATTCCCCAATTTCATCAGCATTTACTACAAAACCATGAGATCAAATTGTCATCCCATCTAGGGGATAAGTCTCGTGTCATCAGCAAGAACCAAAAGCTTAAGATCATTTCAATTCCAACATGACAGAAACCAAAGGAATGGGGCAAAAACTAGAATAGGTAACTGAAGAGTGCATACCTCTACAGTAACTCCACCATAAACTTACACTCTATTACAGCTATAATGCTTCTTTTTTAGAACTTACCTGATTGAAGTGAATGTTTCTTATTGTTTCACAGTTTTAATTCATATTATGTGCCTTGAACAAGATTCTAAAATTTTCAACAAATGTGACAATTTCTGACTTTGTAAACTATACTGAATGTTGGTCTTAACGACAATCAGAAAATGACAAGGGATTACACATAAGTCTGACAGTGTATAGGTAATCATAATTAAAGGACCGTGCCTCTTCAAAACTCTATGTAATTGATTTTTTTCCCCATACATCTGATTCAATGCAAACTATTTCTACTCCGACATGCCATGTACAGTGACCCTGCAGTACACATATACCTATCTGTATCTCTTTGTAGTTACCAGCTAATCACATTGTGCTACTGGCCTCCAACCAGGATAATACCTGTTTGCACATATATAATAAATCCTACCACCTTGAGGCCGCCAGATATGTCCTTGGATTACATGACTGTCACCCCTACAAATCCCTAATTAGAGACTAGTTTCCTTTTATCGTGGTGGTCGACCCACTGTGGCTGGTAGCTAGGTTAGGGCAAGGTGAAAAACTAGTCCTGCTGATTCAGACCAGTGTTCCTATGTGTCATGTACATGTATAGATTAAACAATGATTCACAGTAAATTCCACAACCAGATAAGAAAAAAACTTCAGCTCAGACTTCGTTCAGGTGTGTCTTTATATAAATTCATGATTAATGACATCAAGTATTGCTCCATAGCGAGATCCTGACTAAATTAATATAATTTATTTTTTCATACTTTTTCATCATTTTTGCTAGTCTGCTTTTAATTTGACATTTTTAAGGTCTAAACCTTTCTATACATTATTATAGAAAAACAATAAGACACCTATGAAAAACAATGTCATAGTTTAAGAAAACAATTGTCACAAAAAATATTGGAAGAATAAATGACACAGAAATGAAGATATAGAGACTGGAATCCAACAAAACTTGATATTTATCTATGCCAACAATTTGAATATTTCATAAGCAAATTATTTGGGAACAATTCAGATGATGAAGTATGCTGCAGAGCAGTAAATATATACTTGGCCTGGAGAACAGGAGGACAAAAGATTCTGGGATAGAATACAGACAGCGATCAGAAAACTTTGACAGACACTTTTACTTGAGATAAATAACATATACTGTCACATTTCTTTCTGCATAGTTTTTCTTAGTACGAGGACCTATGTAAATCAATCAATTTTATACATATGTTAAATGTCCAACTAATCTCGGTCAATAATGCTCTTGACATACATGACAACTTCAGAGTGTTACTTAAGAGTCAAGCTACTGATATATCTTATCAACGACCTTGCCTGGTGATCATGAGCACCCCATGTACCATGGAGTTCAAACAAGTACGTACATTACTTGATGTCATATTACAACACAAACGATAACATATTCATCAAGTACTCATCTGAAATAACATCTTTCATATGAATTTTCAATGCTTGATCTTATTGCCCATGTAGTAGGAAAGCATGACAATTTTCTATTTTTTTTAGCCTGCTTCAGTCACTCAAAAGGCAGGGATGAAATTTGCTAATGGGGTCGACGTCCCTCATTGAGGTACAGTGGCTTTGGAAACTTGAGCATGGCAGGGAAACAAAAGATTTAATTTTGAAGTAATGTGACCAATATTATCTAATTAGATACACTATTATATAGATGAGACAATAACGAAATTTAAAATGCAATTCATGTCCTTTTTCAGACATTTATATAAAAACTTCACAAGCCTTTTTTGAAAATTATCTCCTGTATAAAACAAGGTTACCGCGAGCGGTATATAATACGCCCGTCACACATTGAATGAGCAGTTGTTTGTATGATTGAAATATATGAAGTATTTGTGAGTAATTGATATTAAAAGAGAAATCATTCAACATAACTGGTAGATCAATGAGTGCAATACAACATCATGGAACGCATGCATCGCATTAATGAAACCAAGGGTGATAACTCCAGTAATTACGGTCGGATAATGGCGGTTATC